TGGACTTCCATGAGTTGCTCCAAATACCACAAGGGGATCGAAGGCGGTACCATGATGATGTTTCTATCATCGTTATTTCATTAGAAGGAAGAATATGGAGATCATGTGTATATAAGTAGAGAAAATCACAGATAAATATTTATAAAAAAATTATAGAGAGCCCGGAAAAAAGTCAGGCATTTTCCTCATCTTCTTTTTTGTTTTTGTTTATATCCTTAATCACCTTTGTAAAATACCAATTAAGCTTCAGGAAGTGGCTGAGGAACTTGGTTGTCCAGTTTTCTGGGTGGTGAGGACTGTAAAGATGTAAAAGCTGGTTCTAGTTGATTATAAACTGTCATAGAAAAAAAAAATTGTAATTTTCTAATAAAAGACATTCCTTTCAAAAGGATTTTGTTTGGCACTATCTCTACCCATCACTTTCTTTCGTGTAATTCTTGTATAAAAAACTTTGTTGGATTGGCAACACTAGTCATATCTCAGCATCTGCATCTTCTACTTTTTGCAAGCAATTGGATAGTTGGCTATCCAAATGTTAATTATATGCCAAATAAGAAAATACTAGGTTTTGGTATTTGTATTCCCTTTTCAGCATAACTAGATATCTTGGTTCCGCGGCCAACGGGGTCTAGTCCAGTAAAAAAGGACATTGACTTGTTCTCTGCGAGTTTGTGAGAACCTTGCAAGTGCCCAAAAACCTGGGCATCCCTCCTTTAGACCACCGCTTGTATTTTTTTTTAAAGATATCTTGGTTCCACAAAAAGTGAACCTCTTTATTTGTGTTGCACTCATTCTATGGGGCATATGTTCTTCGTGAGCTCTGTGGTACACCTAACCCTTCAATCTTGTGCTTTAGCTTGGAGGAAACTACATCTTTTCTTATTTTAAAATTCACGAGGAACCTAAAGTTGACTTCTGTAAATCACAGATTAAGTCTAGCTGGTGGAGAGTTTCCCACTAATTTCCTATCTAATTAGTGCAAAGTCAGCAGCAGATTGGAAACAGTCAAGCCTTCTTCAGTTGACCATGTCCTAAAAATCCAACCCATTTCTTTAAAACAATGAAATCCAACCATTAAAAAAACCCAAGATAGAAGAAACCCTTTTGAGTTTTGACTCTAAATTCTCACATACATATGTCTTTTGGTCATGCCACGCAGCAGAATGAGAGCCCCATGCAGAGCAGGACCTTGGCTTTGGAGCTTTAATTATAAATCATAATTTCTCCTAACTGTTATCTACTTCTGAATTCATAGTTAATGCAAATGCAGGTGGGGGAAGGTTGGGTGAATAAAACTCATGAATGATGTAAACCTGTCTGGGATATTGTTGTCATCAAATTGCAAACTGCAAAGCTTTTGATTTCAATTTTCAGTTACATCCTACTACAGCTAAGCCATTTCAGCCTATCCCAACAGTTCCTTCTTTGAAAGGGAAAATGTACAGAATTTTTGTGCTGCCAATTGAAAGTTTTTCTTTGACCCTCCAGAACAAGAGGAAAGGTTTTGGATTTTTGCAATAAATGATGTTTGGTTCCAGTATCGAAAATTAAAAGGAGGTCTTTGCAAAAGACCCATTAGTGTAGTTGTTTGAAGTAATTACTCACTCAGGCAAGGTCCTGAGTTCGAGTCCTAGTATCTGTATAGTGTGTGTGTAAGGTCTTTTAAGACTGGGCCAAATTTGTAGTGAGCTGAGCTTCCAATTTCCCAATGAGAAACTAGAAACTTGAATCAGCCTAATAAAAGAACATGGGCTTTCTTTACTGTTTGTGAAGCTTTTTGGTAGCTGTACATCACACTTGAGATCGCACATTCTAGGCCCAAAATAATTTCCTAAATACATACCCGACTTTGATTAGAGCTTTTGAGAAAAATCCTTTTCGATAAAATCATAACTTAATCAACACAATACAAAATTATATGTGTTTTATATGGTATGAATGCAGACTAGCAGCAGCAACAAAGATTTGCAGGCCAAAAACAAAAGACTGCAACAAGAAGACTTTGGGATTGTAGAAAAAACTTTTAGCAGAATAATAAAATATGTATGAAGGACAAAAGGAACCATTTATAACGATGATCATCCCTCCCTTACCAAACAAATAGCAAATGAAAAGATGAGCAGAAGTACAACTTTCTACCTATATTTGTTTCATGGAACAAGGGGCTAGGAAAAGGAAATTCTTTTTTCCCAATGAAATGGTTTTTCCCATGTTTGGATGGATGGCACAATAAAGCACAAGTTTTTGCAAACCCAGGTGTCCTAGTAGTGGGTTTTGTGTTTTCACTGGAATGAACGACTTCCTTTAATCCACATACTTTTTTCATTTTGTATGTATTAGTAACCGTAAGGGAAATAAAAATCAGAATAAACGCATAAAAAATCAGGAATCGAAATCCTTCCAACACTTATTGTATTTAAGTAAATATATGCAAAATTAATCGAGTTTGCTCGATGCTTGTGATTGTCTATATGTAACTTTACTCGACTAGGGTAGGAGAGCCCAAAGAGTTTTTTTTTCTCCTTTTTGGTCCAAAGACTGGAGTGCTTTTCAATTGTCGAATAATGAATGTTACATGCGTCCCTTCCTACAAGTAATTAAAGCAAACTTTGATTCTTATTTGTTCGCGAACCAAACAAATGAAAACATTCCCACCATTTCTAAACACTCAAATGAAAATAAGACAGTAACTTAAAATGATTCATTTTGAAGGAATAGGTCCACGATTCCAAGAGCCAATTTCTCAAGACTACAAACAAACTCAAAAACATATATATAATTCAAAATTCAAAACTCATTGCGGGCCTCACTTCACTACAAATTCAAACCAAAACACCCTCTGCGGTCCAGTAGTGTAGTAGAGAGAGAGAGAGAGAGAGAGAGAGATGTTGACTGCACAACCTCGATACCTTCTATACAATTCAAAACTCCAACAACGACTAATATATATATATTTACACAACTTTGCTTTCAGACTGGCAATGTCGATACAAACCATCTGACATATGTGACCCTCACGTTGGTTCCAATATCACTCAAATGTCAAATGTATTTCTTTTTTTGTACTTTGAAACTTTCTCCTACCCTGTAGCAACTATTGACATTTGTGTCTCATTCTTCCTTTTGATTACATATGCAAGTCTAGCTTGGTCGAATAATACCAAACTGGTCTAGAAAAATTTATTGTTCTCTTTTTCTCTCACATTTTGCTCATCTAAGACATGTCTATCCTGAGCAACAACAGTAGCAGCAATGGTGCACCCTCATTTCATGAGTTCAAGAGACAAGCTTCTTTCTTCTTTAAGGAGAAGATTAAGACTGCAAGATTAGTCCTCACAGATGTTACACCAGCACAGCTGTAAGAATACTTAGAAATTAGCATTTCTCTGTTTTCATTTGTTGAGTTTTGATTTATGGGATTTGGTTTTGTTGGTCTGGTTTTGGTCACGGAACTTGTTTCTGGCTTTGGATTCTGATGTGATGAACTTTCTGGGTGGTGCTTGATTAATGTCTTAAGATTGACTGAAGAAGCTACAAATGGAAATCCATGGGCACCAGACACTAGGACCTTGGGTTCAATTTCAAAGGCTGCTTTTGAGCTTGATGATTATACAAGAGTTGTGGAGATTTTGCACAAAAGGTTTCTGGGTGTTTTTGCTTTCTTTTCTTCTATTTATTACAGAAATTTGGTGATTATATGATGATGTTTCTATGTTGTTATAAATTGTGCATCAGATTAATGAAGTTTGAAAGGAAGAACTGGAGGGTCTCTTACAATTCTCTGATTGTAGTAGAGCACTTGTTGACTCATGGACCAGAGAGTGTTGCAGTTGAGTTCGAAGTTGACAAAAGTGTAATTGAGCAGATGGGAAGCTTCCAGTACATAGATGAAAAAGGGTTTGTAATTCTGATATAGTTCTTCCTGTAAATGTGTCTTTTGGTGCTATGTGTTTTCTTTTCTCAATGAATATGGATCTAACAGATCTAAATATTTACATGCAGATTCAATTGGGGCCTTGCTCTTAGGAAGAAGTCAGGGAGAATAGTGAAGCTGCTAGAGAAAGGTCCTCTTCTCAAAGAAGAGAGAGACCGAGCTCGGAAGTTAACAAGAGGGATTCAAGGGTTTGGAAGCTTCTGCCAAAGATCATCTGATTCTCCAGCACAAGGCATTTTAAGAGAATCATCCTTTGAAACATATGGAAGGTCTAATTCTCAATCTCACTTCAGCAACCATGAAAACCAAGAAAATCAGTTTCCATCCCCCACCGCGGATGATTTTACCAAGAAAGTTGAAGAATCAAAGCAGAGCAATGAAAATGTTGTGATCATTGAGGCTGGCAAGGGAGCAGAGAATTCAAGTTCTTGTGGTAGCTTTGGAGATGGTGAGGTGGCTCAGAAACCTGAAACTCAAACAAGTTTTAAAGAAAACATGATTCCAAACAAGGAAGAGTTAGATAGATGGAACTGCATGGGGGAGTCTAATCCACTTTTGGGTGGTAAGAGAGATGGGACCAGAGTTGAAAATTCTGCTGAAGACGAACACCCTTTCAACGAAATTAACAATCAAAGTGCTGCTTCATTGATTGCTGCAAGTAATGCTCTAATATAAAAAGAAGAAAAGAAAACTGTCTGAAAATTTCTTCCACTGAATGTGGAATCAGCTACTTGGTTGAAATTTTATTGTTCCTATATAATGTGTAGTTTGAAAATTAGGCAATAGCCAAGACTAAATCTTCTATCTTGATTTTCCTCAATTTTGGTTAATTTAAACTTAAACCATGGTTGATGCATAATGATTCTCTCCATTTAACTTTATAAGGCTTTCATATTTTGGTAGCTTTTGTACAAGATGCCATTTTCCTCGATGCTTCGGATGCCAAGCAACTTTCCTATCATTTGATGATATACAATGGTTACAAGAAGCATCTACACGTGAGAATGACAAGGTGACGTAAATACATACATACATACATACATACATGAATGAAATTATTGTGATTTCAAGACTTGCAAAGCCAATCTTGAATAGCATGCCGTAGGGCATGGTTGGGAGTGAGATGCAAGTGACTCAATTTCAAATTGGTCATCGGAGACGTTTCACGACAATTTTGCAACCATCCACGCAAAGCTTCACCTTCGTAAGTGAAGCCATCAGCTGCCACCTGAGGGTCGTGCATTATTTCCTGAAACCAACCAATAATGTGCGTAAGCCATTAGCCATGAAAGTCGAACTACAAACTGGACAGCAAATTCCAGCTTAAGTTTGAACCCTGTTTACTACGTTGCCTCTTATGTTCAAGTTAAAAGCTTGGAGCTTTTATGGTGCATATTTTGCAATTCATGAGCTCTCACAAATGCAAAACCCTGGTCGAACTAAATTCAGGTCTAGGGCTTCACAGCACCTTCTTGAATTGAAGAGAAAAACCAAATGAACCCAAGGGGTTAATAGAATTTAGAACATTTAGCAACTGAGCTTAGAGAGTCTGATCCCAACTTTAGGCTTATGAGTTTTAGGGTAACCTAGTGGTTGATCAGCTGATTTAAAAAATTCGGCACTTCATAACTGGTCATTATAATAGTGCTATTCCTCAACTAAGTTATATACGCGAGTATTGCTCACCTGAAGGATCGGGCACAAGAAAAAAGATGGCACTGGTCGCTCTTCAGGGGCATGCAACTGATGCAATTCCCTCACTAAAGCTGGTGTGATCTCTGGTCTTTCGCTACTATTCAATTCACAGCATTGCAGCCCAAGGTCTACCAATCGCCTTGCCACAGTTATAGGCCATTCTCCAGCTGAGGAATCCAGAATTGAAGCCAAGTTTCCACATAAAACTGCCTTGCGCACCTCACTTGCTAAGCCAACTGGAGGCCTTCTGGTGACTAACTGGAGAATGATTAGCCCAAAGGAATAAATATCAGACTTGGGAGTCAGGACTCCAATTCTCTGAAGCTCTGGATCTGTGTAAGGAAAAGCACCCTTTGGCTCAGTACCCCGGCGGAAACTTCGACAATAAAGATTGTCTTCAGTTACCAGCCTGCAAATCCCAAAATCACAAATCTTGCAGCTAAGTTCTGAATCTAGTAGTATGTTTTGGGGCTTCAAATCACCATGGACAATCTTTTCAGGTTTAGAAGAGTGCAAGAAGCAAAGGGCACTAGATATTTCAGCAATTATCCGTGTTCGGGTCTTCCATGGCACTGATGAAACGTTGCTTTTCCTGAAAAGATGGTCTTGGAGGCTCCCATTGGATAAGTGCTCATACACAAGCGACCAGGCTTCTGGACACACACCAAGCAAGGTCACAAGATGAGGATGCTGTAATTTTCCAAGTACTTGTACCTGCAAGCACAAAATAAATATTATTGCAGATCTACAATATTAGATGAGGGGTACAGAATCAAAGAAAGGCAAATATGTGAGCATCGTTTGAAGTACCATAGATATTAACCACTCCATCAGTTTGACATAAATTATGAGAGAGAGGGAGAGGGAGGGAACCTCTTGTTGAAACTCTGCTTGTCCTTGCATGTTATGTGGATGCAACTTCCTTATAGCGACAGTTCTGCCCATCATTTCCCCCTTAAAAACACAACCATATCCTCCCTGCCCAATTTTGAAGCTCTCAGAAAAATTGCATGTTGCAGTTTGTAGATCTGACAATGAGAATTCTGACAACTTCGGCAGTTCTTCAGCAGACCCAATGAGCCCATTGCAGTTTGCAGCTCCAGCCTGTCGATGATTTCTCCACCGCTCAAGCCAGCGTAGGGCTTCCATCTTCTGTCGTTGAATACTCTGTTTTTCTTGCTGAAGAGTTGCAATTGAAGTCTGAATTAGTTTCACTTCCCCAGAAGCTTCATTAAACCTACGATTTGCTTCCTGTGCTCGACTGTCTAGAAGGGCAATATTTGTCATGGTCCTCCTTATCTCTCTACTAACTTCTTCCTTCTCTTGCAAGAGTTTTTGTTGTTCCCCCATCGTAGTTCTCAGGGCATCCTCAGCCTCTGTTCTAAGTTTAACTTCACGGGCATGGGCTAACTCAAATTGCTTGACCTGAATAAAATGGAGCAAAACAATTTGGAGTTCAGTAGTAATTCACAAGATTCAGGAATCAATTATTTCATTTAAATTCATAACCTAGCTGTGAAGATGATCAGATCTGTTGTTATGACCCACAAATACAAAGTCCCCAAATATACTTCTCCTAGAACTTAACCAGAATTTTTGAGGTTACTAATTTTCTGGTGTCTTTCCAGCAGCCAAGTTTTATATTAGGATCAAGAAGACATAAATGTTGGAAGCCAAACAGAAAATGAAGGTAAAGTAGAATTTACTTTAACTTCTTCTAAAGATGGCCATCTACTGCACCTGCCTAAAAGGATTCACAAAAGCAGTATAGATAACAGCCATGTTTAGAAAGATATATTTGCATTTGTTATATTTCAGGTGAAAGAACCTTTTTTCCTGTAGAAGGAAATTGAAATTTGAAAGTATTGACAAGTTCCCTTTGTCACATAACAAAAAATTACTTTTAGTGATAGCAATGGGGTGTACGTCGGTTTCAAACCAATACAATTTAGTCAATCCACATTGGATGATCAATTTTGATAATGGAAAAATACAAAAATGAAATATTAAACATTTATCGTTAGGTTTAATCTAATCAAACATATTAATAGACGTAAATGTAAAATATAAATGAATCATGAGAGAAAATTGTTTTGATTATATAACATATTAAACATAACTCCATTAAATGACTTAAAATATTCATAACATTTTCAACTACAAATACCTACAAGACCAAAATAAGCATAAAACTAACTAGATTGGATTGGATTTGATTGGATTCTCAAAAGCAAATCCGTCATCTGATCCAATCATGTCGGTTTTGAAAATTACGGATCCAATCCAATCCGCCAAATCATCGAAACCGATTGAAATTGGATTGGATTGGATTGATCGGTTTGGACGGATTGGATTGGATCTTGTATACCCCTAGATAGCATTCATAGTCATAAACTTGAACTAAAATTTATCATGTCATACCCTAACTCCTAGGAGCCATAATACTGAAAATGTAAGTCCTAAAACTGAAATAGGAACACCAACTCGTAGTTACCTTGTAGATAGCTTTCATAGCTTCTGATTCTAAATTTTTGCGCTTCAATAGCTCTGCAAATGCCTTGTCCTTTGATGCCTCAGCTTCTAATGTAGCTTCTGCAAGCCTATCATATAAACTCTGTTCCTCAACATTTATATCAGAATCTGAAGACATCATTCCCTCGGCAGAATTATATCCTGAACCAGAGCTTATACTTGAACTAATTGAATTATGAATATTGTAGGGTAAGGACGTATTTGTAGAACAAGATAAAGTTGGTGATGCAGCTGATTCTTGGTGAAATTCCTTATTTTCTTGAGGGAGAACTTTGGCAATCTGCAGTTGCCTACATGAAGGCGGAGAACTTTGGCCTTCTGAAGCATCTCTCGTCCAGACATGTTTCCCTTTGTTGATAAACCATATTTCACAAAACAAGGCAGCATATTTGGCAGCATAATTTGCTTTTCTGGAGTTCTTTTTCACCTTCATGCAACTGTATTAAAATATTAGGAAGACATGCTTTGCAACTATACTAAAATTTAAAAGAAATACATAACGAATAATATATATGTCCAAAAATATAACATTTAAGTTTCACGAAGAACAAGAAGAATGCTAGCAACATGTACTTTTCATTGCATTATCTGATAAAGGCAAATTTTCAGAAAACAGAAGTTCACACGTACTTTTTTGTTTTGTTTATCACTTGGTAAATTTACTTAGACAACTGGGGTGGGTTCAACTCCTACTTACTGGAGGAGGAGTATATCCATGGACCCTGAAGGAGCCCCGCCCTGAAGATTTTGGGGCACAAGGTGAGTTCTTAAATAGGCCCACAAGACAAAAGTTGCTGATATCTATACTTTCTAAGACAAGAAAAAACAACACATAATAAATTCAAAGTTAATACAATAAAACTTAAACCACTTGGATGATACATGCACGGTTGGACTGAAGTCAGGGCCCTGGCCAAAGGTGAAAATCTGGAGGCCTAGGCGGCCGCCTCATTTGCCTACCCCAAGGGAGGAGGGATGACCAGTGGACCATAGCATAATCAGTTCACAAATACACTTTAACAATGTTTGAGGAAGCTCTTCAGAATTTTTTTTATATTTTTTTATTGCAGTATGAATAAGCTGGATAAGAAAATTTTGTTGTCTAAGTGATTAGCAATTTAACACAACCACAGATTTCAATCCATTGTGCTCTTTTACAATTATGTTAACTTTTGAAAGTAAACCATTCAACTTCCAGTGGAAAATTACCCAAATGATTTGTGCACCACTTACTTTTCTGGTACAGCCCCCATAACAAGCTTCCTAACCCCATGTCTGTTGACCAAGTCTACAATTCCTTTCTGAATTTCATTAGCTTCAACCATGGCAATGCTTGCTTTAACCTGTAAAGTAAATGCTTACAGTGATACTAATATACTTCTTTAGAATAATTGAATTTTACAAGAGATGTATAAATTTCTAATCAGTAATGATGCAATTGTCATTTAAAGGAATATCAGATTTTGCCGCATAGCATTGGACAAAATTTTAACACTAATACTCAACTACCTATCGCTTAATGTTCTCAGCCCCGACTCAAAATGTATTGGGAGAAATAAAGTAATGGAATAAATCAAGGCTTCTTCCGAAAATAAAGAACATCATAATTGCGAGCAACTATGTTTACCAAAATTTTGCAGCATACAAACTGCTCAAATTTATAATTGTAATGATACTAAATGCGAAACATAAAGAAACCAAGCACACCTTTGCTCTAGAGCAAACCCTCAAATAATTTTGCAAAAGCTTCATTTTCCGTTCCCCTTCCTCCCTTCTGAAAGCAGATACCACTTCGGCATTTGCTTGACTTGCTGGTAGCTTTCCTACTGCACAATGTAATCATTAATGAAACACAATTTCAAACAAATCAAAGTAGAACAGAGAAGGTCCAGATTGCTTAGCAAACTCCTGGGAAATAAGAACCGAAAAGTGGACCCGGTAACACAGCATAACTGAATTGATTTTTCCTCGATTGTTCATTGTCTTAAGAACCCTCTTATTTCTCGGATGCCAAATAGAGCAACAAACAGAAAATAATTGACAATATCCACAACACGTGGTTAAAGGGTCCATTTTTTTCCACATTTTAAAATGTTTTCAAACACTTTCTTAATTCAAAGAAAAACCTAAAGACCAATGTATGCATATTCCTCAGAAAATATATAATTTAAGAATTTCAATAAGAACTTAATAGAAATCAAAGAAATTTAGAGCCTTCCCACCAAAAAAAAGAATAATTCAGAGCCCTTTACAGAAACACAGAGAGAGAGAGAGAGAGACTTACAGAGAGTCGGAATGAGCTGAGAAGGCTGATGAACATGAAGTATACAAATTTCTTTACAGCCAAAGTGCTTGAAAGTCCAATGAAGCAAGCTCACAGCTTTCTCAACAGACTTGCCAACTGCCACATGTACCTTATCAACGCCGCCACCACTATCTTCTTCTTCAAAAATCTCAGCCAAATGAGAGGTAGTGGCCGGCCGGTCAAACCCACGTCGGAAACTCACCGGAGACGAGAACCCAGAAAGGGATTCACCAGCTGAGCCGTGCAATGGATGTGAAGGCTGTATCAGCTCCATGGAAGGGTCAAGCTCAAGCAGCTCCGGTGATGGTGGAGTCAGGCTTTAAGCTTTGTGGGTTTGTGTTGAGAGGTAATTGGCATTTGATATTACTGATATTTGGTGGAATAGGTTTGGATTTGTTGGAGCTCTTTCTTCTTTGTTTCCGAAGGAGGCTTGACCTTTTGTGCTGACTTGATTGTGACAGAGGAAATGTTGACGGTGGAGGAAGAAAGAGATTATTTTTTTCCTCTGTTTTCTGGTCAAGACTTTAATTTTTTTTTAAATAAAAATTGGAGAGTATCTTCATGGTCATGTGGGCATCTTTGGATTCTTTTATTGGTATTTTCATTATAAAAAAAAAATTCATTAAACTTGATAATCATATACAAAACAACAAATAGCTATAGTTGCCCAATAAGATCAATGAATTATTATTTTATAAGGAAAATATTTCATAACCCAATTGTTTTTTTTTCTGAAAATTTTCTGATAATAAAGAATTTTGAAAAGGAAATTGGACTTTACATTATCTTCCATCTTTCTGTTTTTGTTATATAATTTCCAAGAAATGATATATGTGACAGAGTTCAGAAAAAACAAAATAGGTTTCTCATCATCATTCTTCATTTTATCATCTTCATTTTTTTTGTTTTTCGTTTATGATTTGCAATCTGAAAAGCGAAAGATGTGGATGGCAGTGCAATTGTCACACATGAACATGCAAATTGTTGCGTTCAATTGAGCATGTGCTGTTATTGGTTAGTCAATTAAAGAATTTAGTATTCAAAGGTTGGTCTATAACAAAGACAAAAAACAAACAAAAAACAAAGCAAACGACTCTTTCCCTACGACAGAGAATAATTAACGAACAATTTTCTTTTCTTTTAATAGTTATTAATCCTTGCTGTCTTTTCATGGAATAGGGCAGGGAAGGGGACAATTACCTGACCATTCCCTAATTTTGCAGGCATTTGAGTCATTGGAGCCTTTAGATGCAAAGCAATTGTCAAAATATACGTTTCGTTTCATTTCATTTCTTATCAATAAGACTTTAAGCTTAACCTAACTAATAGCCGTACATGAAATCCTTACCTATCTAATATTTAAATTTAACGGCTATCGTCTCAAAGTCACCAACACTGACCGCACCACACCAACAAAGAAGATGTCTCAAGTCACCAAAGTAAAACTAGTGGGGCAGCTTGTGTGGGTATCATTCCAGCGTGAATAACGGCTACTTAGTAGTTAGGAATTTACGGAAAAATTATTATATAGTATTGATGCTTATATTATAACAAGATAATTAGTTATATCACGTGATCGTGTTTCAGTATCACATAATATTTACTTAATTCGACGAACGAGGGCATGATAAATGCCATTGTTGGATAAACGCGGGCGCAATGAACGCTCTCTTAAAATGATTATTGGGAGGAACACGTGATATGTTCTATTTGCAGCTTTGGTTCGATCATCAACAGTGAAGTCACTTCCAACTAACCACTATAACTATCCAACAACCCAATAACAGGCAGCGACCAACAACCACCCACGAAATCAACTTTTGCCTAAAGCTTTCAAGTCAAGTCTTAAGGAGATGAGCAAACTCTTCGGAGACGATCAATGGCCAAGGTCAAGTCTAAATACTAACAGACTATAGCTCAAAATAAGAAACATTGAGATTGAGCTTCAGATTTGGTCTCAACCAATTGTTTGGTAAGCAAGCAAACAGGAACTGAAGAGACCAGGAAAAGAAAATTTTAGATTCGGACGATTCCAGAAGAAACTCCTATATCAAATGAGTCCTCGGAAAAAATACTCATTGAAACGGAAACTTCTTAAAACTTAATTGTATGAACTTATTAAACTAAACTTCAATTCATCTGGGCAATAACAGAGCCACTACAAATATATAAAATGAAGGAGAAACATTTACTTATTAAATCATCAGAGAGGCCCTCAAGAATTTTAATGGCAGCATATTTGATTTTGAATCAGCGAGGTGGGAGGACCAAAAATTTTATAAATGGCAGAGGCTTTAGCATTGAACGAATACTTGTTTAACGCTTAATACAAAAAATAACAACTAAACAGTTCAACTCTCTGCCATAACCTCCACATCTCGTAGTTCATTGTTTCAACAACACTGGACACAGAAGTTTTGAGAGAAGCAAAGGTAGAGTAAAAACTTGCGAGCTGCAATTGTTGTGCCGTAAAATACTAGACATCACACACTCCCATACCAGGGCCTTAGAAGCACTTCCTGTGTACAATTGATGGGCCAGATTCGTCATACTCTGCCTTTGCGATCCACATCTGTGTTCCAAAAGGAAACAATAGCGCTCCATTAGCATTTACTAATATAATAATTATAAAGACTTAGCTATTCCCCTAAGGAGAAAAGTAAATCAGAGAAACAGAAAACTATGATTTGTTAATAAGGGTTGGTTAACAAAAATATGGTTCGCTCAGTGCTCTCGGAATCATTATTGGTGTCATATATACTAAGATAACATACCTGCTGGAAAGTGCTAAGAGATGCAAGGATGGATCCACCAATCCAGACACTGTACTTCCTCTCAGGTGGAGCAACAACCTTGATTTTCATGCTGCTAGGTGCTAAAGCTGTGATTTCTTTGCTCATTCTGTCAGCAATGCCAGGGAACATGGTAGACCCACCACTAAGAACAATGTTTCCATACAAATCTTTCCTAATATCGACATCACACTTCATGATAGAGTTGTATGTGGTCTCGTGAATGCCAGCAGCTTCCATTCCAATCATAGACGGCTGGAAGAGTACTTCTGGGCAGCGGAAACGCTCGGCACCAATGGTGATCACCTGCCCATCAGGCAATTCATAGCTTTTCTCAACAGAAGAACTAGTCTTTGACGTTTCAAGCTCCTGCTCATAATCAAGGGCAATATATGCAAGCTTCTCCTTCATATCCCTGACAATTTCACGCTCAGCTGTGGTGGTGAAGGAATAACCACGCTCCGTCAAAATTTTCATAAGGGCATCGGTGAGGTCACGACCTGCTAAGTCAAGACGAAGGATAGCATGCGGGAGAGCATATCCCTCATAAATGGGGACAGTGTGACTGACACCATCTCCAGAGTCCAGAACAATACCTGCATGGACGTTCGAGGGAGAAAAATTACAAACAAATAATTGAGATGGAAGCCAAAGAAACATTGTACACCCTAGTGGGGGGTGGGGGTGGGCTGGCATTGCTGTTGGTATGAACATACAGAAATCATTTTAGTTATTTAACACCTGCGATGTAAAATTTTTTAATAAAAAAGAGGTTATAGAAGGCAATCCCTTGCTGCAGTAAGAATAAATTTCACCTAAACTATACTGAAAACAGAAATTCCTTCAACCCTATTGGTTTAAACTTGGAAGCACAAAACTATCCTCCCTTATAAACTTATAAAAACCACTTCACTGTTTTATTCAATGCTTAACACAGTGGCACATGCTTTATCTTAGGAACACTTCAATACTGATCACAAATCAATTTGCAAACCAAGCTCTTTGAAATGCTAACTAACAGCATCTTAAACACACTGCATGACTTGATCAGTCCATTTAAGTCATTCACCACAGAGAATCAACTGACTCCAAATAAATTCAATCCATAACATGCTAAATTATTCAAATTGCTCACCAGTTGTACGACCACTGGCGTAGAGGGAAAGAACAGCCTGGATGGCTACATACATAGCAGGAGTGTTGAATGTCTCAAACATAATTTGGGTCATTTTCTCACGATTAGCCTTTGGGTTCAGAGGTGCTTCAGTGAGTAGAACTGGATGTTCTTCTGGAGCCACACGTAGTTCATTGTAGAAAGTATGATGCCAAATCTTCTCCATATCATCCCAGTTGCTCACAATACCATGTTCAATCGGGTATTTCAAAGTCAATATACCACGCTTAGACTGAGCCTCATCCCCAACATATGCATCCTTTTGACCCATGCCAACCATCACACCTGTGTGACGTGGGCGGCCAACAATGCTAGGAAAGACAGCCCTTGGAGCATCATCTCCAGCAAACCCAGCCTACAAGTTCACATTGCAACATAACCATTATATTTTAAGACTGAAACTGCAGATCATACACATCTTTGCCAGACAAACATTATAGAAAAAGTCAACAGAATCAAATTTAGTCAGCAATATTTGGAGATAAAATTGTCCTGATGCCATACCTTAACCATTCCTGTCCCATTGTCACACACAAGTGGTTGAATATCCTCAGCGTCGGCCATTTTTCTAATACCAGCTGTAGAGACGTATCAACTGAAATATAATGGGACAAAATATGAACACTGGATAAATAAAAACACTACAGAGGTATAAATAAAATTTAAAATTTAAAATTTAAAAAAAAAAACCATGAATTTCATAAACATACACAAATATTAAGTTTTACACCAATTCATTTAATTTAACACACATAATAATACGATAACTGAAATGATCAACTAGTTTGCACACCAATGGTGGTGAATGTACCTTAACAGATTCTTAGTTTCATCACTTATAGCAAAACAATACAAATTTTCTTAATCATTATTACCGGAATAATTCACAATTCTTGTTGGACGAAGCCCATACAATAATATGACAGGAAAACAAAAACCACACTGAAAATTCCATCCTAACAGCAATCCATTCGAGTGATATTTCCATGAAAACATGACTTATGCGAAAGGCAATGGTCAATCGAGATTAATTCTTGAATCTAAGCAATTTGTGCGCCTGATTCATTTCACAGCTATACAAACCATCTCAAAATTACGTTGCTTTGCATTATGAAATTATTAAATGTTTAATCAAGAACCGAATTCTCTCTGAAACAAATTAATAATATATAACAAACAAAATCAGACTGTATACGCCAATGGATTATTCAAAATCCAATAGCCACCTCACAAATCCAAAAGAAACGACGAAATAATTCCAACAAATTCAAATTCCCGCAAATTCACCATAACAGATTAACAATGCAGGCGATCCAAAACAACAGGTCGGCCAAAAGTGACAAAATTGCGAACGAAAATGAAACTGTCCTATATCCAAAACCGTCCAGAGAAAAACTTGAAATCGGCAATGACGACATTAGATTAAAAAGATTGTTACGCTTTGTTTGGTTGCAAGGAAAGCGTTTGATTTTCTCGGAAAATGAATGCAGAAGAGAGATCTGACCTTTGATTTGGCGTCGACGAAGGAACACTCGGATCTAAACAGCGGTGCGCGCCTTAGGGTTCAAAATTTAGACCTCAAACCCCACCTCATATTCGCTTTTTAAATCCACCACTCTCTCAACGTTCAATGAGGGCCGTCGGATCTGTTGAACGAGATCTCAGTTCGTGGCGACGCGTGCCCTTCTTATCTGGGGCTCTCCCGTAACTACAGGCTGTTTCAAATGCTTTGTCAATCAATCCAGGTGTTATGGGAGGGAGAGCTATAATTTTTCCAAATTCTTAGTTTCCTTTTGGACCATATTCCTTGGGCTTGGTTTTCTGGGCCTTAAAACACATTAACCCAAATCTCAACTAACGCATAAGGCTAACCCAGTTTTTGACTGGGGAAAACGAAATTTGGTATAGTGGGTTTTGGGTTGATAATTTTTTACATGACTTGACAATCCGACTCGGAAATGCTATAATAAGGGGGTTGTGGGTGAGGGGTGGTGGGAGGGGTTCAATCCCACTATCTAATAAGAGAGAGAAAATATTGAACTTGAACTTTTATAATAATTGAATGGTTGAATTGAACCCTCACCAAAATCTCCCTTATTGTAGAAGCTCCCACTCGAACTCAACACAAAAGTAGTTGATTTTGGGTTGATTATTGTTTGACAAGTATACTATGGCATAACGTAGAATTCTATAGTGAGTGCCTTATCTAAGGCTCTTAGATGAGACCCTATCTCTTAACCATTAGATCAAATTGGTTAGCGGTTTGATCCAACTGTTAAGATATAGGGCATCATCTAAGAGCCTTATGGCATAACTCACTAAACACGAACAATAAACATATCATTTTAGTGTCAAATTGTTCTTTTTTCTTTCTTTTTATTTTTTTGCAAAACAGAGAAGTATTTCATTGATAAATAGAGCAATTACAGAGAATTGTTGAACAATATAGCCTACCATAAGGCAGGGAGGGTTCTTGCCATTTGTAAACATATAGACAGAGACAATGAAAAATATCCATTGCAAGCCAATGAGGATAACAAATGCACATCCTAGCCAACTATCTCACTTGGAGTTGAAGAAGAAAAGGACCCAAAAACCTTCACACCCAGTGCCAGAAGCAGACTGAGCCATCAATGAACTCTGTAATACATTAAGGAAGAAAACATCAACAAGTGAATGATAATGACCACTCAGCATCCACTCGAACATTTCATAAAATGCCACCGATATTCTCCATATCGCCACATGATTTGCAAGCACTAATTGATAGAAAAAACCCCAATCAAGCAAATCCACCTCCTCTACAAACATATCTAAATATATCTAAAACCTAAAACCCAAAATTGTAAAAGTAAGCATATCAAGGGCAATAGGCACCAGATCTATGAAGATTGATCATAAAATCAGCCATACAGACTGGTATAAATCCTCGCAAATTCGACAAAACCTTGCAAGATTGCAAGGAGGCAAAAACCTAGCACTAAAAGGCTATGGGGAAAATGACGCAGCGTGACAATTGATCGGCTAAAACCTTAGCCTAAAACATGTAACTCTGGAATCCACCAAGAAATATAAGAGAACCTCATGTTTATTTGATAAACTGGAATAACAAAACATAACTCTAACCATGGGTAAAGTATGTTTAAATACTCCTAGAAACCTTATGAATAACAAAGGAATTGAAATAGGAAAATAACAAAGTTTCCAAAAATTGTAAAAACTTTAAAACTGAATTTCAAGCTAGTAGACGCACATTGTTCTCTTCAAATTGATGGGTCATGGGCCGAATTCTGAACTCGGAGCCCAAATCTGCAGCATACCTTATTTGTCTTTGCGCGCGCGTCGCTCCAACTCCTCTTCAATTGCTTCCACCATATATTTTACATCAGAAAAACTCTCCACATACAACTGGGGGAGAGGCTCAAATTATTGTTTCAGATGGGGTAGTTCTAGGGGAAGACCCCTAAAACCAAAAGGGCAATTGTGTTATGGTTTTATTTTGGCTTCTCGAGAAAAAGAGTCAAGAAGAAGCAAGAGAAATCAATCTCTGTCTAAATTGTTCTTAATCACTAGAACTACAAGGCCCTTACCACATTTAATTGATATTACATTTGAAGAAAATGATTCGTTTTATTCATTTATTAATGTTTATGCTTAAATTTGGTTCAACAACGGGACGACCTCTTCGTGATCGAGGTTGGGCAATTCGTCCAAACTAGGTTGGCGGGACCAACCAAATCGTCCTCCAGAACCTGCAAAACATAAGAGCTAATGAGGGTGAAGCCGGTTTCATGTCGGCCAAAGACCTTTCGATACTTAAGTTAGTTGAGTATTTGAGAGAAAAATGCACAATAGATTTTGGGGCTTAGAATTGCATCAATTTAAGGAAGGGTTTATTTAGCCTTTTTATGTCATCCTAGATGACCTAATCCTTCTAAGAGTATAACTCAAAAGAACCTAGTCCTCCTTGGACTAAGGATTGAAAAGGGTCAATTTGAGGCTAGATATGGCAATATCATGCTTATCCCTACTCCTCATCCTCACCCCGTCCCCACCCCCATCCCTTATAAGAAATTTCAAGGAATCCCCGTTCCCATCCCCTTTGGGAGGTTGTCTCCCAAACCCGCCTCGAAATTCCCTTTTTTTTTAATATTTAAAATATATATATCTACCTTACATTATAACACTTAAATTTCACTTTAAAATATCATTTAACTTAGTTATATGAAATTAAAATATAAAATTTAACTAAACTAATCAAAATCATCTCAATTTAATTTTTTTTATTAAAAAAACTTCATATTATCTACACCAAAGTCATCTAAATATAAAATTCAACTCAACGATCATATAACTTTTTGCTTGTTATATTATATTATATATAATTATTAAGTAAAAATAAATATATCACTTATCAGCTCGAGTTTGGAGATGGGGATAACAATACCATCCCCAGCTCATCCTCAATCGGGGATTTTTAAAATTCAGGGATCCCTCGTCCCCGCCCCAAATTTTCCCCCAAAATCTTCCCCTGTTAAGGGCAAGGTCCCAATGTGGACTGGGCCCGGTGTGGGTTTTTGTCATCCCTACCTCGGACTAGGACTCCCTTTAGATATAGTTGTCTTGATAATCTCGAAACATCTTAGCTTCTCTAGTTAGCCTTACCCACACCGGGCCCAAACTCATGGACCAACAGACCTACAAGCCCACCTGAGCTACGATAGGATAACTATATGAGGATCTGGCTCAAGCCCAACTCAACCACTTGATATCTAGCTCAGCTTGACCACCTTGACCTAAGCTCAGCTCGATCACTTGTGTTTTTGCTCAGCTTGGTCTAGAGGAATTTTACCTCACAAACTATTAATATGTGTTTGTATGAGATGTGCTACAAGTATATGACTATTTTTGTCGGCTTATAAGTGATATGTTCAACTTAGAAATAAAGGAAACTTACTTTTAAGCCTTTGTTCATAATGTACGTGGGTCAGCCTAAACAAAACAAGATTATCAATAAATTGAGCTAATGTTGGGTTAGTTGTCATGCTTAATTAAATGAATTACCTTTGAATCAGATCATATTTGAATCGATTATTTTTGACACAAACATGATCCATTAATACGAATTGACACCCTAACTAATGGAAGAGGGGGAAACAAGTTGTACAATGTGATTCCTCGTTTGCCTTCTGCCTACTAGCCAACTTCCCATGTATATATATGTGGTAGGGTTTGGCTGCAGGCACACCAACTTTTGGCCTCACTATAATTACCTAGCTTCAAAACTCCCCCATCTTTTTCCCACATCCTAATTTTGCCTGCAGAAAAATGTGGGCAAGTCATCATGAGCAAATTTCTTTCTTCTTTTTTTAGTGTAGGAAACAAAAGCGCGCGAAAAGAAAGGAGGAAAAAAGGGTTGAAAAATAGGATGGGGTGAGATGATTGTGAGAGATGGGACATGATGATCGAAGATGGAAGGGGGAAGCAAAATGATTAGGCATGAGCATGAGAAGCAATTATGTGCCATGAGAGTTTGTGTGTAATGTACTCACTCTATCTTTACTTTTTATATATTATATATTTTAGCTTCTCACCCCACGTTATCATAACATGCTAATCCTTTCCATCCCCACAATAATCATGGATTAATAAATTAGTTAATTAAACAACCTTATCCCAGAAAACAATAAAGAAAAGCTAATTGTACTTATGGAACATTTATTTGGGACTATTTTTACATGTCCCCTCTTGGTTATAAGTTTGATGCATACATTTATCCTATCTTAATTAATAAACTATTAGTCTGGATTATACATCATATGACTGCATATTCTCAGTGAGAAAACAAAAATTTCTGAATATCCTTCCTCATGAGTCAATGCATCAGCAGTTCTTTCTTTTTTATTATTATTGGAATTCAAGAATTATTATTTATTTTTGAGTTTTTACTATTAAACCTGCTTAAATGTTACTAATAAACCTGTGGCGGCAGGAGGTTTATATGTTAGGATGGTACTAATAAATATAAGCGTATTATAACACAAGTATATTGATAACACAATGTGGCCTCGTTAAACTCGACTAGCACCGTGTCAATGTGTGATTGCATGGTGCTATAGTCCTACACGAAGATGATGAAACTGTGTGTAACTAATTAAGAATGTAATGAATTGGATACATTCAAGGGCAAACTATAGACCTCCAAAACATGAGCCACGAGCCTTGTCCTCAAATTTAGACCCCGTTCTATTATGATGTCCAAGATGTGGTGAAACCCAAGCAATCCCGTTGGGTCCCCTACTTTGCAGACATTAATATCGTTAATTTGTCATCTCATGAGAAACGCACGCATGGCATATTTCTACTCACTCTTAAGTGTTTTTTTTTCTTTTATTATTATTTTATAATAAATAAATAAAAACAAAGTTGTTTATAAATTTAACCAGATCGATCTGAAATTGGATCTTCCAGGGCAGGCATGGATCGGAAATTCCACAATGGAATGAAGAATCCAAGGCCATAATTCTCCATGCATGATGCCACTCCACAACATGGCCTGCAGTTGGTAAGGGGGACCCATCATGTGTAAGCAACCCCATATAATGCAGCCAAGGCAGCCTTCTCTCTCTCTCTCTCTCTCTCTCTGATGAATAAATAGTCTTCTGCAATGTATGCAGTGGTCACCACTTGGCCCATGAATCTGAGGAAATTACAGGACGTGGGGGCTCACAGATTATGTTTTTGTCAATCATTTGGTTTTGGATTAGCGTAGAATTTTAGATTCACTAATTCCTTTCACTTGAAATTAGTAAATAAGAGATCAGAGAGAAAGTAAAAAATCTAACTTTGGTTTTATCAAAGAAGAATAACATCATTAGCTAGCTGAAAGAAATCACAATAAAATATATGATGCAAAAAATGAGTTACCTCATTAAAACTTTGACCTTAAAAATCCACACAAGAAGAAAATCCGGTAAAAAAAAATGTACCACAACATCCATTTCAGCCTAAACCCTTCAGCCATCCAGCAAATCGAACTACGCCAATAGATGAGCCATGCCGAGTGATTCTTGATCATTTAGTTTTATTTATTTATTTATTTTTAATTGTAAGAGATTCCAAGTTCAAATTCAGTTTCCCTCGTTAAATTAAAAAACAAAAACAAAATCATATTGAGAATACGACAAATGCTTGTAACAGACGTTTAAACAACTTTTCAAAAAATGGGGATGATGTTGGTTTTTTTGTTCAAGAGTAGATGGTTTTGGTTTTAAAAGAACAAAAAAGGACGTCAAAAGCTGGATTTCTCTCACACTTCTTCTACCTACTACGTTCAACCAGTCCCCCACTACCCAGAGATATGTTCGCCACAATATATATTATATAACCCACATATATATATATATATGATATGCAGGACACATTGACATAACATGAGGCTCAAGACACCTCCGATTCCCTTAAGGTACTCCATACGAAAAACATTGTCACAAGCTCCGCTTGTCATAATCTTCGTCTCAGGATCCATAATTAAATCCCTAGAAAGTTAAGAGGAATTCATGGAATCCTTTATATTACCCAATTCAACACAATCTGGTTTGGACGGAACTATCTCTCACCGGTTGTTTAGTGAATTTATAACTGCTCAAATTAAACTTATTAAATTGGATAATATGGGAACATAGTGTGTTTTACAAGTTCCACAAAGAATAGCGAGATTCATAAAGATGAATCAATTCTTCAAAAGAAGAGGCACTAATAAAACTCAATGCAATCTATAACTTATATAAAAGTTTAATACACGACGGATGTGAAAGGACTGCCATATGTGAAAGGAAAGCAAACAACGCAGTTTCATAGCTCATTATTCTGAATGATTCACTATTAAGGGCCGCATGCCAGTAAAGGCATTTTCGCTTTTTTCATCACCATCAACTTAATTATACCAAACACATAAATAAATGGCAAAATTCTACACCTAGAGATAATTCTTCATAGGTAAAAACCAAAAGAAAAATTAAATAAGTTTCAAATATGAATATATAAATGCCAGCAGGGAAAGCTCAAACTGGTTGTTATAAATGTACAACAACACAACATGCATGGTGTGGAGCTGATTTAGCCTTGCATGGTGGTGGAGCAAATAAAACAATGAATAAATATGCATATGGTGGCCTGAGTGTCAGCCCATTATATACACATTATATAATATATGAAATATATTTATATATATATAGTCACAGAGACATATTAATTTGTAGTTATTCTTGCGGTCGGACATTTAAATAAGAACCGGCTTCGTATGCGTCCATGGAGAAAAAAAAATATTCTCGGGAAAGTTAGGTTAGAAAAAGAAAAACGCAAGAAGAAAAGTTCCTTTTTCTTTCGAAACAAACAATCACTATCCGACACAAATTCTTCCAAAATATCGTGAGAAGACGAGAGAGAGGACAAGAAAAAATGGAAAAACATGCACGTTAAAATGGGATCAGATCAGATGGTTTCGCTGTAGTAAACCACGTGAAGAGATGCATCAAAGTTCGTCCAAATCAGAAATAAAGCGATCCCCTTTTGCCTAAACCAGATTTTATTGTGGTTATTTTAACGGCTGACCTCTGTGCTTCCTTGAGGAAAAAAAAAGTGACCCCACTTATAGTAGAGCAACATAGAGAGAGAGAGAGAGAGAGAGAGAGAGAGAGAGAGAGAGAGAGAGAGATAGATGTTGATGTGTTGAGAGGTGTATATTTGCTGCATTGGATCCTTCGCCGAAGTAGTGTTTTGAAAGCTTCCCAAATTCTCTCTCTCTCTCTCTCTCCTTCTTTCTTTCTGTGTATGTTTTCTTGAGGGGGGCTAGAATCCAAAGAAGCTGATAGAAAAGGTACATGGAGATTTGGAGATAATATTTCTAGTTCATCAATCCCATTTAAAAACCCGTGTTGCCTTGTATTTTTTCCCTTTGTTTTGTTGGTGGTTCTCTTTTTCCAAATCTCATTCATTCTGTCATTGAATTAAAACCCTTTTAATGTACACGTACACCTTCTCCAAGTCAATTCCATTAATCATGGATGGCGAGACAAATATTAGCCCTCCTCCAAATTCTCAAATGTTGGTTTCTCAAAAAAATCATGGCCCTCTGAGCTCCATGGATTTCAATTTCTTGGTTAGGCCCACGTTGGATTTCCATCGCCACGAGTGCCAAACGTCACGTTGCAAAGACAAAGAAGAAGATGGAGGCCATTTACAAAGCTCAGAAGAGAAGCAAGAAGACAACTTCGACATGTTTGTTTCGTCTTTGAAGGTCCAAATTCCATCGGCAGGAGAATTCTGCAGGCTCCTCCAGCAAGACGATAATGTTGATGGCGTTGTGGATGATGAAGGGTTGAAGACTCCTACATCTTTGGATCACAAAATCACAGTGAACCTCCAGTGTCCACCTGCGCCAAGAAAACCCAAGTCACTTCCGCTAAAGAAGCGAAAAGGAGCTGGCCACCCCAGAATTTTACTCCATCTATCGAGCGAGATCGAATCGCTGTTTCCTCCGGTGGATGATCTTCTTGCAGATGTTCATGTCGGTGGTAAGATTAAGAAGAAACTTAGAGTGTAGGAGGCTAAAAAAGCAAGGCATATGGTGATCAGCTTGATCTCTAAATATGTGGAACCAAATTTACATTTTATACCAATTAATGGAATATTTGGTGATCAATGTTATAGCGGTGTACTCTTCTCCATTTTGATGTGTAGTGTTCAGGTTTCTCAGTTGATCTCATCAAATTCATCTTCTTAATTAATTTCCTTTTTTTTTGTCTTTTTTTGGGACAATGGGAAATTGGCCCAGATCTGAATCAGATTATGTAACTTCTGTAATTTATCAAGGATGAATTTTGCATATGGTTCCATTCCATTATTAATATATAGGCCCCCAAGTTTTTTACTTTGAATCCAGGTGTTATATAATTGTAGTACTTTGTAATGGAGGTGAAATAATGTGTCTTTACAGAAGGGAAGCACTGTTAACAAAACTGAAAGGAATTGAAGATGATGATGATGATGATGATCTCTCTCTCTCTCTCTCTCTCTCGCTCTCTCTCTCTCTCTGTAGTTTCTATATAATGGAGATTGGATGGCATTGACTTTCTTACTTTTTTTGGAAATGGAGTGGCCTGCATTGACTTGTCCAAGAGATGCAAACATCCTTAGCCTGCATTGTTTTTACCAGAGGTGAGCAAACCCATGTGGTATATTCCTCCATAGACGACATGACAGAAATTATCAAATAACAGCTAGCAATAATAATCAAGGAGTGCTAGTTCTTCTACTACTACATATATGATCTCTCTCTCTCTCTCTCTCTCTCTCTCTGTGACTTCAAGGAGGCCTTGATTGGCCCCTACCTTCTCTTAATGTTGGGTCTCTTTTGCAGCTCCCACCACAAGTACATCAGCTTTTTACTTGACAACCAATTGAATATGTCCATAAATTATTTCAGCATGCAACCAGAATGCACTCTCCAACTATCAATTCCATCTAACTAATTCTTCCGTTTCCCTCCCAAAACCCCAAATGGATAATGGGCTGAATGGTAGGTAGCAAGATAAGCTCCGTTTGTACTGTGTGTGTGTGTGTGTGTGTTTGTGTTTTCAAATTTTTATTATTTCAATACATATGTATAGACCACGAGGAATTTTGGTTTGATGCATATATACTTTCTTTTTTCTTTTTTCTGTTGGTTTTGGAATATTTTAGATATAAGTTCAAGGTAGAAGGTTTATTGAAACTTGAAACCAACTCTAAAATAATCCAACTCGCTTGTTGATGAATTTGAGAGATCTACTCAATCCTTGATTCTTCCTGAAGGATGGAAATTCTGCTACTAGTTGAACTAATTTATATATGTTGAGGGTTTGATCCACAATTTCTAACAAGTTGACCTTTAATCACATATTGGACAGAATTGTCGTATTTGAGCTAGAGATGAGTTGGAGATCTTTTCTCCCAAGTTTTGTCTGGTTAGAAGCATTAAAAAATGATTAGTCTAATTAATTCATGTTTGCATAAAGAACACAAAGAAGCAATGCGGTCCACTTGGTGGATTTGGAAGATCAACCTACTCAAGGACATGTGTTTACATCCATGATTATAATTAAGCTTGTCCATAGGTGATGGCTTTTTACGATAATCATTCCAAACTCTCACACTTACAATTCTAATAAGAGGTAATTTTAATTATTATTTTCGCTCCTATTTTGAATGATGATAGATTAGGTCAGACGTTGGCCCGAAGTATTTTTTGTTAAATCTTTTTTTGATTTTTTGGGTTCGTCCACCTTGTAACCCAAAAAATAAGAAAAAAATGAAAGCCAAATTGTGGTAAACATATTGATGTTTATGTGTACTGACTTCCTGCAGAGAGGTACCCTACTGACGACACCTCTCTCTCTCTGTGTTTTGTTTTTTCTTTTTGAAATTGAAATTAAGAAGAAATATGCCTGAAATATGAAAAATATCAATTCGCGCAGGTATTGATGGAGTTAAGGAAGTCAGTTCAGTACGTATATAATTGGAATTTGGATGTTATATCTGTTTTTTTGGGAGTTGGAATTATATGGGAACTTTCCTCGTATGTAAGTAACTCATATATATTTACACACACACATCAAAAAAATATTACTTTGTGTCTTCCTGTATAGGGCCAAACCAATTGACTATGAGACAGAGGTGTCTGAATTTCAGTAGGTTCGGATTTGGTGGTACCGTTACTGCATGCAGGTACAAAAAGCCAGCCATATCCATCTACTACCTCAGCTTAGCTACATGTCAAATTGAATGGTCATGGGCCGACTGGTTTCCTGCAGTAACTTGCAGTGCCCTCTTGCAATATATAAAGCCACAAACGTGATAAACGCGGTTTTGCTAGCTAGCTAATGAGATAAGAGAAATTAACTTGCATTCATCCCGTCTTTCTCTATCACCTTTAATATGTGAGGAGAGAGATAAGGAGAGAACGGTAGGTATAATCCGAGTGTATGCAAGTTTTCATATATCGTCGCTCTCTATCATTTTCTTTTACGTCACTTATCACGTAATGAGATAGATAAGTAGATACTTGTAAGTATCAAATGTATGCAAGTTTTTTTTCTTAGCTAAGATAAGGTGGTCTATAATTGCAGTGAGTGATGTAACACAATGATTGAAGAACCCCTCCTCTACCCAAAACAAAACACGAACAAGAAAAGAAGTTATTACTTAATAAGGAATAATTTAAAGAAAATAGTAAGACAAGATTGTCAACTCGAACTCTATCAATTTTGTGGTTTTGCATGCTCATAGACATCTGATCACTTCATTTCGAACGTGCATCTTGCGAAGGCTTCGAACATGTATTTTGAGACATTAATATATTGCATATCTATATATTTTCTTTTCTATATTTGCTTACAATGAGAATATTTGAGCTTAGGTTCTGCCCCTTTTCCATTCTATCAAATGCCCGTTGAGTTAGAGCATCCTTTTTCGTACAAGATGGAGCTAGGCTGTGTTTGTTTTGGGTGTTTTCATTATACACTTGGCCTTCGGGGAGGCTATGATCTCTTCAAGCCTATATGTGACTATACTCATTTTCCAACATTAGAAACGGAATGCCACGATAGTAAAATAAGTAACAGATCAAATGAGATGGATATCCAAAACTGTGAAAGAAAGTGATTATAATTCAAAATAAACAACATCAAATAGGCACCGAAAGATGTTCGATATAAATAAGTCTCAATTTAATTGTAGTTGAGTGCATATTTTATGAATAAAGAAAATAATTTTAAAGTTCATGGAGAATGGTAATATGACCGTCACACTGAAAAATGTGTCGTTGTGGTGAAACTATTTAGTCTAACATCCAGAAGATAAGAGCATTTTTCTTGAAATGTGCTCTTGGTTTTAGGTGTCCCAAATACAGCTGAAGATCCACCATCCAACTTCAAAAAGAAGTGCCAAAAGTTTTCAAGTAAGCCCAGACTAGTTGTCGTTAAATGGCTGAACTTCTGCAACCACAAGGAAGCAACTTGTCATAGAAAAACAACCCAAAAAAACTGGGCTTTGGTTGAATAAGATCTCTGGTTTGGGGTTTTAAGGGTCAAAGCAAGCATGCACCTGCACTTTTTAAAAGCCCTGTCTCGTCTTTTTATTTTTGGTCAACAAAGCCCTGTCTCGTCAATCATACTTTACAGGAAAATTCTGGAGCGATTTGCGATTATGGGTCCTCTACAATTAAGGGATGTGGGTGGTTGAGGTGGTTAAGTGAGGGGTTCAATCTGTAAACTATATTCTGATTTGCATTTTAGTCAATGAAATCAATTATGTAGTCCTTAAACTCTATTATGAGTGGCATTTTAGTCATTTTCCGTCATTTGTGTCAATTTGAGCATCTATTTGAGGGGTAAAACGGTCAACGTTGGTCTCTTTTATTCCTTCATCGGTATAACTATAGTTCTCCTCCAAATGCACGGCTTACCTTCAAAGATCGTTATCATTTGTACTCAAAATTTAGAGACCAAAATGCAAATCGAGCTCTATTTCAAAAACATTTGATATAATTGATGTTAGAGGTTGATAAATGCTCTTGCCGTGAACAGCTGGATCATGGAATAGAATACTAACACATGGCGAACGTTTTTACCGCCACAAAAGGAGGAGATATGGAAAAAGCGACAGGTCATATTGCGAGGGCCCAGTTAGTAAAAGTTTGGGCTTGGCCCCACCACAAAAGGGGCTTGTGGGCCAAAAGAAAAGAAACACTCAATGGCAGTGTGTGACCGTTGATCCAGCAAAATAAAAGTCTCTCTTTTTCCAAATTAATATGCACCAATTGATCTCTACAATCTTGAATAATCATATGTCAGTATATTTAACGATTAAATTATAGACCATATGTCTCACATAATCTTTCAAAGATACAAACGATTTTATTTTCTTCAAACCTTTTTTAACCATCAGAATTTATTATATTTGAAGATAACATAACATCACGTATTGACGACATTATCATTATTTCTTTAATACAAGTGATATTGGGAAAGACGGAATCAAACCTAAGACCTCACATGCATAAGTAAATGCTGTTAATCACTTGAGCTACAAACCCCTTGCATGTATTAACGTTATTGTAAGTCTACATGAATGATAACACATGTACTTAACATAACGCTCTCTATTTCAAATTTGAAGTTTATGTATTAATAATTGGATAACAAAGAATTTATGGGGCTTCGTGAGAGGCCGAATTAATGAAGAACACTGCAATGAAGAGTTTGTTAATGTTCTTTTGTTATAAGAACACTGTTTCACTCCTTACATGTAGGGTTTCATTCCTACTCCTTGGCAACTATGAACGTATACATAAACAATTGATTAAAAATACAACCAAATAAAAAAAAAATAAAAAAAAAGTGTACACTAGTCAAATTGTAGTTCATTTGTAAAGCGAAATGACTCCTTACATATAAGGAGTCAAGTATTTTCCTTATTCCAATAGCAATACAGAGAGGGAAAATGTAACTGTTTATTGTATACTAATATCATGTTATAGAGCAGCTTCTGAACCTTTCTTGGATTTATGCTTTTGTTTAGTCTTGATTTCATTTTCTTAGTACAAAATGATTCTGTTTTCTCTTTCTAGTCAACACTCAACAAAACCCAAGAAAAGCAGAGAAACAGTGCTAACAAATGATTACCCCTCTTACTTTGGATCTCCTCCTTGCTATTTACTCTCTCTCTCTCCTCTTCTAATGTACAGGTGATGTTCTTAATCTCCTGTGCATAGAGATGACCTCTATATAGAGTTACCCAATTACTTTCACCTCAGTCATCCCTGAGTCACTGCAAGTCCTTTGTGCTTATCTACAATGTCAATTAAGGAAATGACAGTTTCATTTACCTAAGGTGACCTCATTGAACTTCACCAAAGCCAAATCAGTCACAGGAGCAGCACAAGTGCTTTTGGCCCCTGTCAAGCATGGCTCAACAGGTACTGCTTTGTCCTCTATCTCATTCTCCTTGGATTTTGCCCCTCTGGGTTCAGCACTAGCTCTGATTCATTTGTTTTTCTTGCTAAATTTCTATGGCCGGTGGATATGTTTATTATTTGCTATAATGTTTCTAGCTCTGTGGGTCTATTCTTATCACATTGCTCAATCATGTTGATTTTGTCATTTTTTGTTGGAGGCTTATGCATAATTTATGATTTTCCTGACTGATATGATTGTAGGAGGAAGGCTGGCCTCTGGGTTTGCAGCCAATGCATGTGAGAGTTGGGTTGGCTCAAAACAATGAGTTTTCCGGTTCAGTGTCATTCAACACTTTACTCACTGGTTCTCCAACTTCCTCTACAGATTCCTCTTCAGATCTAGACACAGAGGTCAGTATAAATTACAGATATTTAAAGTATAAGTTTTCTCATATACACTACTAGTCTTGTCTTTGATGGTTCATTTGGGATTTTGTAGTGAAACAGGTCATACATATAGGCACAGGATTAATTAGTTTGTGTGTATCTGTATATTATATGTATATTTGGTCTGAAAATGATTGGTATATACTATTTGCAGTACCTTCTGTTTTGTTTCTTTCAGCTTGTTTTCTTCATGGACAAAATATGCTTGAATGAAAGCTGTTTTTTTTTATCTTTTCTTTTGGCAGATTTTGAAAAAGAAAAGAATTGATAATTGATTTTGAAATTGAAATAGAACTGAAAATGCCATTAATTTGTCTGTTTGTTGTAATAGTAACCCCTCCTAATGACTTGAAATTTAGGCTGTTCCTACTCTTACAGCAAGGACTGTAAGTTAAAATTACCCCTGAACAGTACCATTAGCATCAGTCAGAATTGGCTCTGAATGAATGGTCTTGTTGATGACATGGTGGGCAAGACTATTGCAATTTGTATGGTAGTGTTATCAAATAAAATGGTGCATTTGTACAGTTGTTTACTATATACTAAAAAAAAAAGCCCTCAAATGGTCTGCTCAGCTGCAAACTTAACAATTCTAAGTGTTTGATGTCAGTTTAATCTTGAGAATTAGTGTTAATTTCTTGAACAAATTGGTGAAGGAGAGTGTGCTGATATGTTTACATGTTAATTTCTTTGGTGGGTTGCAGTCCACTGGGTCTTTTTTCCATGACAGGAGCATTACACTTGGGAGCCTTATTGGAATCAATAACATTCTAGAGCTATCAAGAAGATCACTGAGGGGAAGAAAAACTGATCAGGTCTGTAAAGACAGGAAGAGCAACAGCACCACCAAGTTCAGATTGTGTTTTTTCTCTCTATGTTCCAGGGACAGTACAGATGGTGAGAATGTGAACAAAAACAACCATCCTCCATCTCTTGGTCACTTCCTTGCAGTGGAGAGAAGAGCAGCCAATGAAAATTATAGAGAAAACCCACCAATTTATGGACCAGATGATGAGGTTGCTTTAGCTGATCATCAGCCTGCTACACAACCCAACTCACTGTTTGTTGATGGTCAAGTTGCTCCTCCTCAATCTAGTCCATGGCTTGGTTCAGACCATGTTGACCAGAGAAAACCAGTTCTGTTTTCATGTATGTGTGGTGGGCAACTCTCCCAGTGACCAAAGAATATATTCATGTTTCTCTCTGTTTTTTTTTGGTTTTTTTTTCGGTGTCTTAATCAGAATTTCATGTTATTGGAAGACATAAAGAGGTCAATTGACAAATTCCAGTGCAGCCATTGCAGTTTAAGCAAAATGTATCACATTAAGCAAATTTTCATACCAGTAGCTAGCATTTGGGTTAATCAATCTCCTTCTGTGATATGTGTGTAAGTATAAAGATGCAAACGTTCATGATTTGAAGTTCCAAAAGGATGGTGACAAAGATCCACGCCTGCTGGGGCCAAACTGTGCTGGTATCCTAGGTACCATACCCTACCTATTGACTATATGGCTCGAGATTAGGGGAACAAGAAACTTTTGTGTGTACTATTCAATCTTTCCCAAATTTACCACCATTAGGGTCTCTCCTTCCACACTTGTAGAGAGCATCTTCAATACTTTTATGCTAGCGCAAATCGGCTCAAAATTATCATAGGGTTGAAAAAGGGAGCTAAATTATTGGCACTTCAAAAAGGTTATCATGCCCTTCTCTTGTAAAATTAAAAAAATAAAAATAAAAAGTGCATGATGACGTTTTGGAGTGTTAATAACAGTTTTTAAATTCTGACCAAAAAATAAATAATAATAATAACAGTTTGTAAATAAAAAATTACTTGTTTGTGGATTCAACATTCTCTAGTTTACCTAAAAAATAGAGACATATACATGTGGTATGTTTGATACTTTAAGGGAAGTGTTATTCGAGCACCCTTATATCACTTTCGCAACCAGAAGTGCAAAAGTGTAAAAGCATGAAAGGCGTGTGAAATTGTAAGAGCATGGAAGACGTCCTCACTTTTCCAAGACGTATATATGATAACCCTAATAATTTCTCCTACTTTAACCACAATTCAATCAAATGTAATACTCAATTCATTCTGCATCAATGTAACGGAGGATTGCTACTTCAAATGTGACACATCCTTGTACGTACACGTAAACTCCTAAGAAGAAATACCTAAAGATAGACTCACTTGTTTGGGAATCCAAAGGGGACCCGCATGGATAAGTGGGAAAAACACTTGAAGCAAAGCAAGTCAATAGCAATGTCACCATCAGATGAGAAGAGACCTTTATACCGTCCTTCCATGCATAATTGGTGAGCATCATGCAACTGACACAAGGAGAAAAAACCAACCATATGGGCCATACCAATCTGGTACTTGGTTTATGGCAAAAATATTTATATCAAGGAAAAAGGCTGGGCTATCCAACCCCACACAGTTAAGTGGGCCTTTGCCTATCTCTCGGCTTTTCACACACTCACAGGCCTAACTTGTATTCTTTTGAGTCGACATCTTGTCAGGTAGTGTATCCCTGTTGACCCACCCAACTGTCCTTGTCGGTGATCAAGCTGACTTGTCCACATTCATAATTTGATTTTGGAATCGTACGACCAGTAAACGGACACAATCACATGAAATCCATCTGCCAAGGACTTTTATTATTTATTTGTAATTTTTGTATCACAGCATCCCATTTGTATACACAAACTACAGAAAAATAATTTAAAATTTCCAGCAAAAACAATAAATTTAATATTACATTCCTCACAAGGAAAGAGAAGTGCTTTGATTACAACATATCCTTGACTCTTTCCGAGGGTCTTTTTGTGACTGTCTTTCTAGGTAGAGCAGCCATTCAAGAATGTTGAATTCTACCTTTGAACGAGAAAAAAAATTTCTTCCTCTTTTTTGTCTTTTCTTTTTTCTTTTTCCTTCCCAATTCAGACATCTAACAGACTCTCAAATCACCAACTAAAAAGATCCTTGAATCTCAAATTTAACATGACCAACATAACTAACCCAACCAATGCCTGCAACTCACTTCTTTGCTTATTTCCCAAAACTACATACCACATGGATTTTTATCTGTACATACCAAATGGGTCAACCACCAACAGCAGCCTCTTGGATTTTTCTCTCACTTACATGAAAGAAAATCCTCAAATCACACATAGATTCTTTTTCTGGTTGCCAAATGCCTCCAAGCATCAAGGCTTGTCAACCCATTCATTCTCAGCAAGAATCCTTCCTGAGCCACGGACACCCATCTTTCCAAAAGAACCCAATGCCGATAACCCCTTGAAACTGCTGCTGCCCTCACTGAAGTTTCGGGACCTCCTTGCCTTTCTTAGCTTGGAGGAATTGTTATCTCCGGTGTCATGATCAGCATCATCATAAGTTTTAATCTCTGCAACTACCAGACGGGCAATGGTGCTTCGACAGAATGGGCAAACTGGTGGTGTTACACACAATGTTGTTGGGTTAGGCTTGTTATGGCAGCAGAGGGCTAGAGTGCATTGTGCACACATTTGGTGGCCACAATTCTGGACTTCAATTGTACACACCTGCTCAAAGCATATGCAGCATAGATCTAAATCGCTTTCCTGCAATAAAACAATGTCCCAATGAATACTTTGGTCCCATGCATTAAACAATATGATAAATATGTATACAGTTCACATGACTGCTGAAAACATGTCTCCTTCTGACCTGCTCAATTCTAAAACGTTAAGAAAAATTGACTGAGGCACAGCCTACACTAGTAAAGATGCAATTATGCAGCCACATCAAAATCTAATGCCTTTACTTGGGGACCGGAGCCAAGGAAAGCATACCAAGCAAAGACAAAATAGTACAGTGTCTAAAGTTAGGATTCAGAGAACTATTATTGAGACTCATGGTCCAAATCACAGGTATGGGAAATAAAGCTCATGAGTTTGAACCAGTTTGGATTCTGGGGATCAGAAACAAAAAATTTAAATTTAGAGAGCAAGATGATTTTTCTGCCCAAAAAAGAAAAGAGCAAGGTAATTAAAAAACATTTTAAAATTTTCTGTCTGAACTATTCAACCAAGTTCATTGATTCCCTCTTTAGGAAACATTTAAAGGAGAATCCAGCATCATGTCAATTATGATTAGAAACTAGCCCCCACACATGTGTGACTCCGTGAGACGGGACACCAACTTTTGAGTAGATATAAATTAGTGATTATTTTGTATTGTCTTAGACAAGTAGGAAAATAAAATACTACACTGGGTCGGTAGATGCAAATCAAATTCTTTTTTATAATAGAGTAGTATTGAGAAAGTTCAGTAAATTATAGACACCTGGATGGGTGAAAGTGGGTGAAACCCATTATAAGCTCCTACTTTATATAATAGGATATACATCTAACTTAAATATGAAGAAAGAGGAGGGTAGGAAATTACCACAGACAGATTGTCATCCGTCCCAACATCAGAATGTGATGGAGATGGAAGAGAATAAGCAGTTCCTTTCAAGATGTTCTTCTCCCTCTCCCTGTTTGCCTCCATTAAGGCCTGTTCTAGCAGAGCTTTTGCCTCCTGATTAAGCTCACTAATAAACTTCAGAGGTGCTGGCCACACAAGAGGCTCAGCTGATGAAGGATTTAGCATTGCTGCACAAGCTCCATGTTTGTGTTTCAAAGCAACTATATATGGTATTCTCCTGCATATACACAAGCATATATCATATAATAAGCTCAAGTGGAGTTCTACTGGCATCATCAAAAAATTTCAAAACATGCATAATAAGAATTTGTTGCATAAGTGTTAAGACAATGGATGATATTTGGATATGTGAAACAAAATGATTATTACGTGAGATGATATAAACATAGCTTACACAAAAGGGATCCATGTATGTTATAAAATTTGGTTATCAAATATAGAAGGAAACGAAAGTATACTCAAACATAGAAGGAAAATAAAGTATACCCGGATGAATCTCTTTGAATACGATCTGCACCCCATGCCAACAATGCACGTATGCAATCCAGAGATCCCCCTCTAGCAGCCAAATGAAGTGGAGTGCTCGCAGGACAGCTGTGAACAAAAATTTATCAATCTACAGAACGAAATCAACGCCGTAGACGTATCAGGATTAAGAAATTTAGTAGAATTCATACCAATATCCACCAGTTGCAGCACAAACAAGAGCTCCGTTGTCTAACAGAATATGTACACATTCAGGCCTACTTCGACGGGCTGCCAAATGCAATGGTGTTGCTCCCCGGCCATCTCTAATATTCACAAATCGTGAAAATCCCCTGATATTCAGTCCAATATATCATGTTATCAATAAGTATTTAGCCCCATCAATCAAAGAAAAGACGAAATCACTCGGTAGAGTAAAAAGGAGACCAACCAAGAAACAGCAACAGGACTTGAATGAGCAGAAGAAATAATAGCTTGAAGGCAATCAGAATGACCATAGTAAGCAGCATAATGCAAGCAGGTTCGTCCATGAAGGGAATCAAACATTAAGACCTGACAAAATAACCGACATTAATTTCATAGTTCATATTTGGAAAAGAAAATTTGCAAATCTAAAAGAAACAAAAAGTTGGGATATTAACATACATTTGCTCCGGCTTCAAGAAGCTTTTCTACGCACGAGATCTTGCCATGCATTGCAGCCAACATAAGTGGAGTCTGAACCATTTCCAATCAACAAGACAAGAAGACAATTAGAAGAAGCAAAAACAGAACACCAAAGATCAAACATTTCCCAATCAATAAACTTACACATTCATAGCCAAAAAGTAATTAAATTTACCTGCTTGTGACGATTCAACGCATCTGGATTTACAGATCGTTCTAAGAGCATAGAAAGAATCTGCCAATCAGACCCACAAAAGAAAAAAAATCATCAAAAATCCAACATTCAAAAACAACAAAAAGATTCCACAAAACAAAAAACTGAATTCCCTCCAAGAAACAAAAACCCATTTGCCCCAAATCCAAAAAAAACACTTGAAACAATCAATGAAATTCCAATGAAACAAAAGAACCCACCTCGATCTGGCCATTCGCAGCAGCAATATGAAGAGCAGAGTGGCGGTCATAGACAGTCGACTGGCGCAAGAGAGCTGGTTCTCTCTCTAGCAAAGCTTCCACAGTGTCCAAGTCCCCAAACTGCACGGCACGGAAGAGCCCATGTTCATCACTCTGTCTGCAACTCAGCCCCTGACCCATCTCTCCCTCTCTCTGTGTGTCTCTCTCTCTCTCTTTGTTTCTCTCTCTGTTTCTCTCTCTGTGACCCAATTAATGAGTCAATGGACGCCCTTCATTCACCTCTATGTTGAGCCACCTTCAGCAGAAGGCAGAAGGTGGTGGCTTCCATCGCTCTCCCAATAAAAAGGTTTACATTTATGTATTTCCAAGTCTAGAGAGAGAGAAAGAGAGACCATTGAAGTTTGGAGCTGCCCCAAGGAGAGAGTGGGAGCTGACCGAGTCAGTGTTCGGGCAGTCACTGAGACTGACTACGGGCAGCAGTCAGATATTTCTGGGACAGTTAGATTAGATTCCTAAACAGTACAATGGGCCAACCAGCCTTGAACAACCCAAGTTCAATCCGACGGTGGGCCTTCAGAAACAAATAACAGCCGTTGTTTTTTTGACTTGATGGTCTCTGGCCGTTAGATCGGTATGCTAAGCTGAAATTAGGGATGTAATTTGATGTTAATTTTGATTTGTTATTATGAAAGTTGTTTACCGCGTTTGACTGACTATTATGTTTATTTTGGGTACCAGCAAAATTGACACTGTCTAAAATCATCAATGCAAAGACTGCGTCGTTTTCGCCTTCACATAAAAATATGGTGTGGTTTTATTTTTATTTTTAAAAGTCAAATTAAAATATGGAATAAGAGCTTGCATGCATCTTACATGTATGGAATTAATGTTTGTTTAGGATTAAGTGCTTCATGCCTATTAGAAATACGAACCACAATATATTATATTTAACAATAAAAGAGGAAAGGGAGATTCGAACTTGAAAACTATCGGTTTCGCCCTTGATGAAAACGTTTAATCATAATGGTGCCCACATCAAGAGGGGAGTTGGTAGCTTGTATGTTTTCTTTAATGGAGTTCGAGTTAATATTAGAAAATGGGAGGAGCAAATGCATTGATAATCTCAATAAACATTGGGTAGAACCAAAAAAATTTGATGGGTGTGACAAGAACGTTCATCCACTCTTTTTTAATACAATCAATGAATCTTTACAATAACATGGTCCCATAGATTAATTTGTGAAGGAAAGTATAGAATAAGGTCTTTTTGCTTTTTTATTGCCTTCCTTGGGATCAAGTTCTTTTTTTTAAATCTTTCTGTGCAAGTTCTATATTTAATTGGTTTATTGTAAATAGAGACAAAAGGTCGTTAGGCTCTGAAAAAAAAAATTTACATGCAGCAGGAGTAACACTGTTTTGCTATTTACAGCTAATAACATAATGACACGTGAAAAAGTAACATGAGAATTTCTCTCTTGGCCCTGGGGATTAATCTTTATTTTTGGGAATTAATTATAAAAGAGGTTTTTCTTTTTCCTTTTTCTGGTAAAAAAATGCAAAGGACGTTTATGTGGATGCTAAGCATACTTAATAATTCTCAGCATATGATCGGGCTCTAGAAGAAGCAATCTCCTCGTCCAACAAGCATCTGGTACTTGCTTTTGTTGAAGAATCACATGACTTATGATGTCCAAGCCAAAGCAAAGAATAGGCGCAAGCGCAACCGCTATTTTTAATGGGTTCTTTCTTTTTCTTTTCCTGTTTATAGTGTAGAAGCATCAGTTTGCTTATGGAACTTAATTACTTCAAACTCACTTAAACAAAGACATTGGCATAATAATCGTGTTTTAGTGGAGCCATCAACATGATGACATTGTTATCTATCACTGAACAAATCGTGTAGTTGAATCTCAATTAGAGTCGTATTTGTATATTAAGTCAAGGTAGTGTGTTCGTTTATTTACACCCGAATTTAAATATCTGAATAAACTAGAGTAATTTATAATATCGTTCTATTTAAATAAATAAAAATTCAATTTAGAGTCGATTGTGCTGTCTATATTTGAAACAAGGAAGAAGTTGTTGCTATTCTTTTCTTATATTTGTAATTTATTTATTCAGCTACCAAACACATGCTTGTATCCAATCCAAATTTTGCTCTTGATGTCGGTGTTCATGTGGGTTTCTCTGCATCGTTTCTCTAGAAATGAGAGCAAGGGTGGCGTTACGTTTTCGGGAAACGAAAGTGATATTTCACTAAAAAAATTGCTTGACAATGCTCCTCAATAGTGTACTCTGTACACCCTTCAAAAAAGAATAGTGTACTCTGTACGTGTTCGTTTTATTATTTAACATTGTGTACTTTTATTTTTTAACTTGACCCACTGAAATACAAAAACACTTCGAATGTACAAGATGCTTAGCTAAATGCACTATTAGTGTCTAATAGCACAACTAACACCAATAAATGTGGTTATTAGCTAATGTCCGTGAATTTATGGTCACCGTAAGGAAAAAGCATAATTTCATATGAATTTGCATCGACAATAGTAATAAAGAAATATAAATAAAGATCAATCACACACATACACACAAAACTTCCTAATTTTTCGATTTCTTTCATGTTTGACCATGTCATGAGTAATAATAATTCACATGTATTAAGGGAAGAACACTCATCTTATTTAAGTACCAAAAAATTCGATGACTAATTGGAGATCACACAATTATACACAAACCTCAGAGCAACTGTTTCCAGAGTTTCACACCCGAAACCCTACTGTATAGAAGAACATAGGTCAAAGAACGAGACTGAAACCCTACTCCAAATCTCAGCATCAAAACGTGGATTAGTTAAACAATTTATTTTGTTTAAGGATGAATTCTTTGAGTTTGAATGGCTACTTCCTCTCCGTTCCCACCCACCCACCTATCATCAAGCAAAGACAGACTGGTTTTTTATTTGGTTGAATGAGTTTTCTATATCGGGCCTCATACTTTTACTTTTCACGATCTTGTCGGCACCAGAGTTTTATAATTGCCTCAATGAAAACTACGTACTCATAGCAAGGACAAGGAGGGCCACACGTATTATATTTTGAGGCTTGTATAATTTTTTGGAATGAAAGCAAAGCATTTCGTTCTGTCAAATTCAAGAGATATATAATATCTCATGTAATAAATATTTGGCTTTTTTTGTTTCTCTTTCTGTTGCTCTTTCATTTTCATTTTGATGTTGATTGCTTTTAATGGATCAGAATCTCAGGTTAACATGGACCGTACAAGTGTAGTGTTGCTTGTAGGAGGCAAGATGTCGGTAATCCTATTTTATTAAGCTAATAGAGTAGATAGATAATATTGATCTATCCAAGGTTTGGTTTGAGCATCCTTAATTGGTTTAAATTATTAATAAATAAAAAAAGATGATTGGGCATCAATGCACAGTGAGCACAGTTAATTACCAACAACGTCACATGATTACAGTAAAGTTTACTTATAATGTTCTTAATTATGGGGACAGTCTCATGGTAATTGGCAAGGGCTCACAGTTAACTAAAAATCTGAAAAATACTAGATACAAGCTTGTTTTGAGAGCATTCTCTATTGACTTCTTCGACTTTTTCCAAAACGATGAAAAATTGAAGTTGACAGAGTTTGTAATTTGGTCATTTTTAAAAACGTTGAGTTTCATATTGATGAAATTGAAACCTTAGAGCCTATTTCGATAATGACCCTACTTGCAGGAAGTAAAATGTAGTGAATCCTATAATTTCAACAGAGATTCCCTCTCATAAAAGCAATCCATTTGAAATTGGGCTGCCATCACTTTTGGTTATATGCCCCTTATGCTTTTGAGATTGCTTATTCTCCCAACAATATGAATATACCCCATGCAAAACGAAAAGCAAGTTCCCGCATAAGTTAACCAATTGTTGAAAGCAATTCCCTCTATCCCATCCCATTTTAGTATACTAAGTGCTAACACCTAACTCCTTCTTTCCTTCAAAGTTGGATATTTTTAGCCAAAAGCCATCACTAGAATTAAGGATCGAATGATGCATGCCAAGTGGTGGAGCATCTGTCTACCGATGACCACAAGCAAACAGTCATGCTTTTTGTCTATCATCCACTTAAATATTAAAATACAATTCGAAATTATCTGAATTTGAAAATAAAATATCCCATTATTGGTCATCACCATTGAAGCTTCCTTCAATTTTGAAAGGGACTTGCAAAGAGAATTTATAAGGTCGGAAGGGTACGTGTACATTGGTTGTTATTTGGTAGCCAACTTGGATTAGATATTTATTTAGCCGCAAATCAGGATTTTTTAACTTAAATAATTATATTTTTAGATGACATTTCTTTTTTTGGGTGGGCGGAAGGAGGACATTTGGAGAAGTCTCTAATGCTCTCGTCTTTCTTTCCTCACCAGAAGGCCCAAAGCCTTTCCCACTTGCATTGCACGACAGCAAATCGGATTGCTCCCAAATTTAGCAAAGCTTTTTGCATGGTCAGCCCAATTTAGCAAAAGCTTACGTCTCCCTTCAAATCATGAAGTTTTTGTTTGTTGCTGTTTGGATTTTGCTGGTGTTAAGAGCATAATTAACGTGTCGATGACTAGCTAATCATAATTTATTAATTAACGTAAGTTTTACGATTGATTCTTCATAAATCAGCGACTATGAATCATTCATATACACGCAAACGACTAACGTTAATAGCGTGAATGACCAACCTTAAAATGTTTGTAATCATAATATTGAATGTCTCTGTCAACATGTTTTCAAAATACCAACTACGTTGTCAAGCTTTCTTTCGGGATTCATTTTTCAAGATAGTTTCTTCAAGCAATAGTTTTCTCACAGGGGTAGACAATGCACTTGAAAGTGATGTTTAACTTGTTAGCGTCTAATTCCTCTACTTATTTTGGTATTAGTTAACGTATGATTTATTGATTTTGTAATACGCATTTGAGAAGTAATATTCTTTTACTAGACTTACGTTGTCGCATATATTTATATTGTTAGATTGTGAATCCAAACTACACTTTGAGGTAAAATCGATATAATCAACGGTCTGCCATAATTAAAAGATTAGTCCTAAATGATGAAGATAGAACACCAAGAACATTATTTCTTATGAAAGATTAAATTATATTTTCTTGATTTCTTTGTTAGAGAATGGAACAAGTAAGAGTAGGGTCAAATATGATGTGGAGGTTGAAAAGCTGATGTGGTTGTAACTTGTACGTATCTTTGATATTTTGGAATTAGATTCCATAAAATATAAACATCCAAGTTAAAGATCCATTGGTCTAGAATATACCAACCATTAAAATATTTTGTTGGGATCCAATCAATTGTTAAATATAAGTCCCTGAGAAAACCGAGTTGTGCGTTAGAATGGGAAAGAAAGATAACGTAGAAGTAGCGATCAGTCCAATTTAGAATGGACCCTCTTACATATCTGGTCAAAATTGAACAGGGGGACTGCTTTGGTTATCAAACAAGTGGAATCGTCTAGATAAGTTGGCTTCCATTTTAATAACATTTTGTTGTATACGAAATTGACGGTGGACTCTAAGCATAACCCAAAACGGTCTTTTTCTGTTTATATTTTTTATGATAATGAAAGGAAAAATCAGCTATAGGAATTGCTAGTGGTCAAAGTCATTGGAGATCTGTTTCATGATTGAAATATAATAAAAATGTGTGACAAAAAATATATAAATGATGAGATTCGTTGGTGCCGTAGGAAATGTAGGAAAAAACAAATGGAAACTTGAGATTATTATGAACGATAATTTACATTGTTTCCTTATGCTAAAGAAATGCAAGCAATTGTATCGCTAATTAAAAACAAACAAATTTAAAAGTAGGTTAAGGACTATTAAACATGAAAAATCTTAAGGAGCTTTGTCATAGGCCCAGGTCCTCTTTTGTAAAACCACTAAGGAGTTCAAATCTGTCCGTCACTGGGCCTCTTTTGCAAAACCATTAAACATCCCATGTCGCAAGAATGATCTTGAAAGTTTCTCCATGAAGCCAAGAGATGCTTCAATTCAGCCATTTCGTTCATATTAATAAAACCCTAAACCCCTGAACTTTATAAGGATAGTTTCGAATTTCTAGTTTGCTCCAATATCTCAATATTAAGGTTTGTTTCTCTGTTTCTAATAAATCTATCATTCAACAAATGTGTGCCTATCAACTTGATATTCTACAAATATATGAAGTTCATCATCATGCAAATGTGATTATAGAATAAGCAATAGATGTTGCATGACTTATCAGTAAAATTTACTTTCTGGAATTCAGACATTTTATTTGCTTGGCTTCATGAGATGTGAACCGTGCTATTCAAAGTTGGCTAAATTATATTTTGGTTCCGTATGTTTAGGTTTAATTCCACTTCTATCCTTACAATTCTAATCGCAGCAATATAATTAGCTAACTTGTTAGAGGTGGTCTAATTTCACATTTGTCACATTGATCGATGAAAATGATTAAACGAATAACAAGTTTAACTATTAGACGAATTGTCATCTACAAGGGTTACACGACTTGTCAAGCTATTTACCTTTCATCATATGGTTAACAAATCACAAATGATACACATATATAGGCTGTAAATTTGCATGAACCAAGACATGTATGTCCATGAAGAGGAGCCATTCAATGTTATGTCAACTACTAGAATGGTCACTAACTTCTAAACAAAATCGGTGCTAGACGAAGTGTTTCCGTCGATCAACATGCTTGTCCTGTTGCTCCAAATACTGGAATATACAGGAAGCAATAAGTGGAGAATGGGTTTTGCATGAGTGGTATGCAGACAACTATGCAAGGCTTCTGGGTTAGGCATTGACACTACCATGCTCTTAATGCTAGAAACTCCTCCACATTCTGTAGAAAGCCTTTGTCATACGGATTCCTGAACCTAATATTCGCAAAGCTTTGCCCTGGATGGGCAAAAAATCAGACATATATCATGCATATAGATTTGTGACAAATATGAATATCCAGAATTGGTCCTGCGACTTGCACTTACCTGGCTGGGGTTGAACAACAAGGTGGAACTCTGGATACTTCTTCCAGTTAATCTAGAAAAGTCAAAACCAAAAAGTAAATATTAAGAAGGGTCTCTATTTCGAACTGGACTAAGGTCAGACATTGTGAATAAGAGCAAGATACATGTTATACTGCCAGTTTCTCAAACACATAGATGCACGAACATACAGCCACCACAACCACATCAACCCATTCTTTTTTCTTTTACCATCAGAATCCGTATCATTGAGGAACTTACCCACTCATCAGTTCTGATGTTGACGCATACACAATATATATGCCATATCACAAACACCACCTACTCATACACCAATGGAGATTATTAGATTTCATAAGAAGCTAGCTAATTACTAATATATCATTTAGAAAGCAGCAGAACTCATACATTAGCATTAGTAATACATACCTGCCATACCAGTTGGAGAATTGTGAACAGAATTGTGCTAACAGCTAAATTTTCAGAAAGAGTAGGCTACACAATTGATTTAGAAAAACTGTGTAAGTTGCAAAGGCATAGATGACTTATGCTGTAAGTAATTTTATACTGAAGTGTGAGAGAAAGCCACACTGTTGAATTAAAAATTTGTTTAAGTTGCAGGGTTCAATGACCTACCTCCATGCTGGGTCTATCTAAGATCCCGGATTTGGCAGCAACTGAGAAAATAGTAGATGGATCCAAAAATGAGTAAAAGAATGTAAAACAAAGTAATTTTGGAAAGACATTGAACAGGAAAACACAAGATCGTCTGTAATTTGGGATCAGAATCAGTGACAACAAGAGTGCTAGCTTACAAAACAATGCGCATACTAAATAAGAAGCTTCGGTAGAGATAAACCCAAACAGAAGAATTAGGAAAAGGAGATGATTGTTTTGGCCTGTACAACAATGGCAACAATAATATCATTAACTACTAGGGAGTAAAATACAACCAACATGAAAATCAGTTGTGGGCCAACTTAAAAGGAAATTACATAGGATATAAGTTTTTCTAACTAGCTAGCTTGAACTTTAAATACAACTTACATGAAGAATACTAGTAAACAAAGAATGTCCCTTACCTATACATTTCCCAAAAGCAGGACAATGGTGGTCAAGACCCTTTATGTATGCCTTGCAGCTTCTGCAATATCGTACCCTCGTCCCCAAACCAGAACCCTGAGAAAGACAAAGTACATGACCAGCATCCAGATTACAATACGTATGATACCACAGCAGTTGTATTCTTTAAAGGAAAATGTTCTATTATAATACAATCTACCGGACTATATTGTTGACTGTCAATCTTTACCACAGATTCAAATAACAAACAGCTTATCATCATGGGTTCAAGTTTGACATATTACATATGACAACATAAGATGTTACACTGTCTGGTAATAAAACATTTCCCATTCTGTAATGCTCAAGAAATGGAGAGAATGAAAACTATTACTTCAGTTGATTCATGACATGGAAGCTCCAATTCCTGCACCAATAATAAGATTATTAGCTGAGTCTCCCATTTGTTTCAGCATAAATAGTTCTGCGAAAAGATAACATTTTTCCTCAAAATTATGTTTCCGTAAATAAATTTAAAAATGGAACCCCAGTTGAAAATTTCCAACCTCATCATGATTATCAACTTGAGAATCTGAACTATTCAAAGGTTGGTCTGAAGAGGCAGACCCATTTGTTACAATGCCAGGGTCGCTTGTAAGTATACTGCCAATAGCAACCCACTTGTCACTGTTTGAATTTGTCAGTTCAAATTGAGTTGGAGACCAAATTAGCAAAGTGCAGCTTATATTATAACAACCTATAGAGACCAATGACGAGGAACACAACCTCACCGCTGAAAACGGCGTCGTTTAGTAGTGGCACAGCTGCAGCAGGCACATAGATTATTGTTCAATCAAGTTTGTTCAACACCCAAAATCTTCAACTAATTACTGAATTAAATCAAGCTGACCTTGTCTGATAACAGAGACGTAAAAGCCCCAAATAAAGAGAATGTTGAAGAAAACGAAAGCCGGAGCTGAAGCACGGACTTGAAGAAGCCTCCTTCTGCACCATCCACCAAAACCCAGAAACAGCAGAAGCAGTAGAGCTGAGAGCGCGAGTTGGGTGAGAAAGGATGAGGCAGAGAAGAAGCGGGGGACCAAAGAGAGGGACAATTGAGTGAGGAAGACGAAGATACAGGACACTGTGCAACGACCAATTGACTTGGACTGAGCCAAGTGCTTTCTTTGATCTTGTGTTTCAGCCATGGTTTTTCAAATTCGTTCCAGCAAAGCTTATGCTTGGATGCGAAATGGAGTTTGAACAAGGGATAAAAAGAGAAGATAAACAACCTCTCCGTGTAGCTGTAACTATGCATCATGTCAGGAAATTACTCCTCTATGGAGCCAACCGGTGTTAGGATTATAATTTTGAACTGAATAATGCTACACTTACCACATTATTATCCCACATGACGTAATATGTCTATATCATATGCTATATCAATTAAATGAATGAAGTGTATTTTAATAAATAAAATTAGAAAACAGAAACTAGTATTTTACATGATGTGGTATGCACACATCAACTGCCACATCATGTAGTATAAAAAATGTGGTAAGACTAGTATTATTCTTTTGAATTAGGTTTGGTTTTTCAAAAAGCATTTTAATTTATATTATGAATTTTTTAAATATTTTTGGTTTACGTGGAAAACTTGCGGTAAAAATATTATAGCCGCGCGACTATACATTTTGACATGTGGCGCCAAATCGCTAGTTGGGCGCTGTGGCTCGTCCTCTTTCTTTTTTATAAAAATAGTATCGCCGCGCGGCTATTTTTAGATTTTTTAAAACAAAAGCCGCACGGCTATTCTGTTTCACATATGGCACCGAATCGCTAGTTGGGCGCGTGGCACGTCATCTTTGTTTTTAAAAAAAATAGTATAGCCGAATGGGTATACTCAGAATTTTTTATTTTAAAAAAACGTATAGCCGCACGGCTATACACTTTAAATACATACTATAATTATTTTTTTATTATATTGTTTTTCTCCAATTTTTGTTTATCGATAGTTTAGAGCATTATCCATTATTATTAGGCAATTGCCTGAGTCTTTATTGTCCCATTTTGAGTTTTTACTTTTCTAGAGTTATTACCCATATAAACAATTTAGCATTTTCACGTTTAATACTCATATTGTACACGAACGTATGTATTTTCCATGTTTAATACACTTGATTTTTTTTTAAATTTCAATAATATACACAAAATTCACGTATTATACACATAATTGTCGTATACTACTGAATAAAAATAATATACAATAAAAAAATTAAAATCTATAAAGTATATATATCGAAATTAGCAAATGAATCTATATATATAAAGCAAAAGGAAGAGAATAGTGAAACATTCAAAATACCAAAAAATGTCATTGATTAATGCAAATATTAAGAATTGAAATTATTAATTAAATGATGATAATATGGTAAATTCACATTTTTTCATATTTAAAAAAAAGAAAAAGAAAAATCAGATAATTGATCCTATTTTTATGGAACACAACTACTAATTATATTTTTTTAATTCTAAAATAAATTTAAATTTTTTTAAAAAGAAGCCTCTCGCATGCGCGGAAGCACGTGCAGAGAGGCTAATATATATAAGAATAATGCTACTCTTATCATATTTGTATACCACATTCTCATACCACCTTATGTGGCAGCTGAAGTGGACAACCACATCAATTAAAATGATTTAATATTTTCTTTTCTTTTATGGTTTATTCCAGTATTTGTTTTTCTAATTGCCTTAATTAAAATGCACTTCATTGATTTAATTGATGTGGCATATAAAATGGACATGTCACATCATGTGGTATAGAAATGTGGGATAAAAATGTGGTAAGTGTAGAAAAAGGCAGAGCATGGTGAAATATTCAAAATACCAGAAAATGTCATTGGTTAATTCAAACATTAAGAATTAAAATTATTAATTAAATGAGGATAATATGGTAAATTCACATTTTTTATATTAAAATTTAAAACAAAATCAGATAATAGCTCATACTTTTATGGAACATAACTACCAATATTATATTTTTTTAATTCTTAAAATAAAATAAAAAATAAAACCAACGCATGTGCCAAAGGGCTAGTATCTATAAAGTATAAACTAATGCAAATAGATTTTTTTTTTTTTTTTGCGATACTCCTTTTAAATATAATATAGTCAAAGTGTATAGTCGAACGACTATACAACTTTTTTTAATTATAAAAAACAGTATAGCCCAACGGCTATACTAGTTTGACACTTGGCACAGAAGACTCGGCGCGAGGCCCTGGGCCCGTTCTTTTTGTTTATACAAATAGTATAGCTGAGCGGCTATACTCGGAATTTTTATTTTTTTTACCGCGCGGTGTTACTGGGATTTTTTAAATAATTTTTTTTATAAATTAAATAGTATAGCCACAAGGCGATACGCTTTACATTTATACAGTAATTTAAAAAAAAAAAATTATTTTTCCCCAATTTTTGTTTATCGATAGTTTAGAGCATAAACTAATGCAAATAGAAGGGTCTTTTTTTTTCTTTTTTTCTTTTTTGAAAATAAATAATATAGCTGCGAGGCTATACTCCTTTTAAATATAATATACTTAAAGAGTATAGACGCGCATCTATACTACGATTTTTTTCTAAGACTTTTTCTGAAACAAATGGGAGACTCAGCTAATAAGCTTATTCTAAGACTGTTAATATCCTTTTGGGCCCTTTAATTCATTTTGTTCTCTTCCCCAACCCAACTAGAGCAGCTTTGACCATTCAAAGTATTTAAAATGAAATTACATGGCTCAGTTTAGTTTGTTTCTTCAAAGTTGGTTCATAAAGTGTCAAACAAAGTATTTAAGGTTTTTTCAAGGATGAGCAAAATGTGAAATGAAAAGGAGGCATAAATAGAGAAACACAAATTCAAAAGTTATGAATTAGCCAATGCTACAAATAGTTAAAACCTACATGAAATCACAAGTTATCCGTAGCAACAAACACGCGCAGGGTCATAGGCCTCAATAAGAAAGTTTGCATTACCTAGATGTCCTCGTGCAGTCTCATTATTTGCATAAAACACCAAAGGAAATAGATAAAATACAAAAAACTTTAATTGCTATAGAATAATCAAATGTTACACAAATAATTTAACATACATTGAGAAGAAACAGACAGCCAGTGTCCAACAACTGCAGAAGCAACTTGTGACTATAGAAATGCAAGTAAACATGCATCTAGTTCTGAATCGTACTTTGAAGATCTGCTGATCAGGACTTATCAAAGCATGGAAGTCGATTTTTTCAGCACTATAACCAATCTGATGCTAAAACGGCAATAAAGGTATTTTATTTGATTAATTAAAATTAAAAAATGTACATGTGTGTCATTTTTGAGTTCCTTTTTGATTTGTTTATAAAGATTAAATGATTGTGAGTTTCTTAATTAGTAAAAATAAGGCGGGACATACTAATCAATCTAATTTATAGTTCACTCCAATATCTCAAACTTAGTAAAAGTTTGTTCTCTGTTTTTAATGAAACCATCATTAACCATGTCAACTTAATACTCTGCAAACATATACAAATATATGTTCATTGTCATGCAAATGTGACTACAGAAAAAGCAATGTATGTTGCATGAGATATGAAAATATAAATTTCCTTATTGGAGAATTGGGTAAGAGCCAGAAAACATACTTTTGTCATGGAAATAACGAATTGGATATCTGAAATAATCAAAACAGAGGGGTAGAGCCAGGAAAAAAGAGTAAAAAAATACATTAAAAAATTTAGAATGGGCCAAACCATATTAATTTCTGGACCACCATGTAAATGAGCTGTGGGCTGGAAATCATCATGGGCTAATTTAAATGTTATTTTTTTATTATAGAAAATAAGCAAAATAGACGAGCACATTTTTTTCCAAAAGAAATCAAATAGAATTCACGTGTGCGTGTCTGTGTTTTTTTTTCCGATTTTCTACGGCGTCGTTTCTTTTGCCCAATCAAAACAAGCACGGTGAGATAAGGCTCCTACCTCACCTACCTGTGATACAATAAGTTCCCACAGTTTAAGGAAAGGCCGTTGCGCAAAGCACCAGGCTTCGTTACAGTCATCTGCGCTGTCCTTTACGGCGGGTCACATGCACCTGCATCACCCCCGCCCTGACACTGTCTCCTGTGCCCCACACGAGGGCCCCACACGTGCGCATCGACGGTGCATATAATAAAAACTTCCTTACATTATTTCTTCTCAGAGATGCACCGAGTATCATGAGATCCCAAACCGACGGCTCTGATTCGTCCTCAACTCCGAGACCCGAACCTGCCACGTCGGACAGCGCAAAGGGATCATCATTGCCTACACGTCGACCATGTGCCGCAGTTTTCGCCTTCCTCGTGGGACCCAACTACTGTTCTCCCCTCGTGTTGTTTGATCCGACGGCTGGGAACAGTTTTAACCGGGCTTACGAGGCTCTTGAGCCGAGCCGGATGGCAACAAGGGCAGCCAGCAACTGTGGCGCTGCCGCGTGTCTATGTGGTGTGGAGTGAAGCGACGGTCTAGCTTTTCCCACCACCCATCCGATTCATGTGGCCCACGTGTATATGCGATTCTGATATGGCGGGCTGCGTACACACTGGGATAGGAATCGGACGTCTCAAAAATCCCGTGAGCTTGCTTCGTGTATGGGTGGGATTTATGTTCTGAAAATAGTCAAAGGCTTCTAGGTGTAGCCCCAGCAAACCAGTTTTTCCAGTGAGGTCCATTTGGATTTTGTCTGTGATCAATCCTAGTGCAACAAATGGATCATTTTGTTCAGTATGTGATTTTTTTATGTCCCCCTTTTGTATCCGAATATATGTTAATATTATTTAATATTCATAACTTTTGAACGTGACATAAAAATATAAAAAAGTTAGGATGTCGTCAAGTCAATTTATTGATTCGACAGAATTGTTATTTTTCCTTTCATCAATCAACATTTGTGTGGTAAACAGTAAATTATATAGTTTCAAATATCATAGTTTAGATACAAGTGGAGTGGAGTTAATTATTGATATTTGGTTCTATGTGTGCCCAATTATTTATTTTGACTTGAATGATACCATACAAACGCTACAAAACAAAATGCCTTGTCTCCGTAAACAGTCTCGCATTTGCTTTTAAATTTCTGGAATTTTATCATTCTCACCTTTGTCACATAAAATAACAAGGTTTTATTATGAGAACTGTTATACACATCCTAAAACGGGACAAAAATTTGTATATCACGGGTTGCTATTACCTAACTAATCACGCTTTAGTCACGCTAATAAATTTTGTATATAACGGAATGTAATTGGTTGGAGATAGCAAATTAGTCATATCCCCGTGCCATGCAAGTTTTTTAAAAGAAGGTTTATATCATGTTGCAAGAAGCTTGTGTTCGATTCAATCTTAATATAAATATATATAAGTTATATGTCATGCATGCCTCATAATTCGATAACCTTTTTAAAAAAATATAGTTTACCTCAAATTGTATAAGAGACTTGCATGAAAACTTTTTCTTGAGTATGAATAACGCTTCCCTTGATTAAGGTTGAATGAATCTATGTAATTGGGCGGGTCCAACGGTCCGCTTATTTTTCATCACAATTCAACTTCTTAGAGAAAGTGCCATGATTTTGCTGCACTTTGCACCCGACACAACGAAAGGGAATGACTTCTAGGAAGGTCATCAATGGAAGCCTAATAAGGACCCAAGAAAAAAGAAAAAGAAACAGAGGGCTTTACCAACTGTCCCAGGAGTTGTTTATGATTTGCTAATTTGTATAGATAACACATGTTGTCCTAAAAGCATGTCAGTCCTTTGCAGTTCTGGCACTAAAACCACGTCTCAAAATATCTTATTTCAGATCGAGCTTCCTTTTGAATTAAACAGCGACAAACAATTACTACTTTAACATTATATTTAATTGATATTCCCCACAATCTCAATCAAAGCCTCATACTAGTTGCCATTGTTTTTGATTGCCACTAAAAAACGATGTTGCAGTTCTTATAATTTAATGCAAGTTGGCTTTATTTTATCTTTAAGCATAATTAACTCTTTGTTAATGCTTTAGTTAATTGTGTCGTGTCGTTACATGAAACTATTTCATGTGCTTGGCACATTGCATCAAATACTTATAATACATCAGTATTGTAGCACGCTTTACGTTAGTGCTCGACGCAATGTATAAAACACGACAGAACCTCTTTTATTGTATTTTTATTATTTCTTCAACAAGTTTGAACCAAATTACAAGTCTTAATTAACCAAATGTAAAGAAAGTAAAATTTGAATAGAAAGTGTATCTGTCACAATCCGAATATTGTATTGCATTGTACAGCTAAGATTGTCCTGGAATAATTGTAATTTGGAAAGTGGGATTGTTTACGCGTATGGTTTGCGGCATTATCCAAATATAAATATGAAAAAGTAAAGTATTAAGGACTTGTTGGGTATTTGGTGTATGTCCCACATCGGAGGAGCACTTTTTTACATGCCATAATTGGAATGTTTCCAACCATGCAATATATGCATGACTAGCATTTTAATTTTCTTCTTTTTTGTAGCGTGTGTGCAAGAAATTTGTTGCCTCTCTGGCTTGACTGGCCGACATGGTGTTGCCTAATTGGTGCATGCTTCCTAGAAGATGAAATTAACGTTGGCTTGGTCTAGTCTCTCTTCTTCTTTGATTAGACTTTTGGGCATATTTCTTCAAGACTCTACTAGTTTTTAGTCTAACCATACGTATTTCAAGTTTGAATTTCTCTACGTTGATATAAAAGAAAATCGTTAATCAAGATGATTTTTACTTAAATATATACTCTATATATTCACAATATAAAATTTTTGACCTTCGCTATTGTTAAACATGGAAGGAAAAAAAATCCTAAAACCAAAATCAAACTATATTGGATTAGACTGAACTGTATTATACTATGAGGAGGCAGAAATCTAAATCATAGGATTTGTGTCAAAGAATCCTAATACAATACAATAGTAGTTGCATATAGGTGTACCAAACAAGAAGCACTTTGACATGTAACACTATTTGGGTTAATAATTTTTTCCAAGATTAAATTAATTCTGTATATAAATTTTTTTTGGTTTAAATTTAATACCTTATATAACTTTTTTATTTTATGAATTTTATATTTTACATTCCTAGTTAAGTTAGATAAATTTAACGGCGGTATATCACCACTTTGTTTTTTTTTAATTTTTACCGGCGGTAGCTCAACCTAAGCCAAATAAACCGTCCGCCTACCGTAACACCAACCAACCAACCAAACTCCAGCCGAGTCGACCAACTCCACGGAGCACAGCGCAGCTAAAGTTTAATTCCCAACCCAACAACAACTCAACCCTGGTTAAGAGCCGACTCAGCGACTCAGATTGACTCGTAGCCGCGCCACATTAAAAAACTCTCTCTCCCCGCTTCCCTTCTGCTCGCTCTCTCTCTCTCTCTCTCTCTCTCTAAAACTCTCTCTCTCACTACGAGAGACGACCCAAGACCCTGCTCTCATTTTGCAGTCCCCTCGCTCTGCCTTAAGCCGAGACTTTGCAGAACCAAAAACCTTTCGAAACGCCGCGTTTCAGCTGAGATCGGCGAAGACGAGCTATGGAGAAAGACAAAGTCGCTCTGGTGCAGAGCCTGATCGACCTAGTCAACGAAATAGCTTCGATCTCCGACTACAGGTGCACGGTCAAGAAGCAGTACTGTAATTTGGCGAGGAGGTTGAAGCTGCTGACGCCAATGTTCGAGGAGATTAGGGATAGCAAGGAGGCGGTTCCTGGGGAGACTGTGAAGGCCTTGCTTTCCTTCATGGAGACTCTGGAATCGGCTAAGGACTTGCTCAGAATCGGAAGCGAAAGCAGCAAGATTTACCTGGTGTGTGCGTATCATTCGATTCTCTTTTTCAGTCGTCCTTGCATTTTTTGTTTGTGTGCTTTTGATTCTTGGCCTCGATGATTTTGTTGTTTTGTTTTTTTTTCTGTTTGGTTACTGAGAAAATGCGGGAAGGTGAAGGAAAATATATATTTTTTATTGAATTTGATACTGCTCTATTTGTTGCTTCTACTGGATTATTGAGTAAATTGTTTGTTACTCGCTATTGACTGCTGTGGAAGCAATCAAAGTAATAGCATACTAACTTCAGATTAACAAAACAGTTGTGTTAGGCTTTGGTAAATTGGAATTTTAGTTTTAGTTAAAATTTTCAAGGGTTCTAAATTTTTGCTATAATTGAGATTTATAGTTCTAATTTGTTATCAATTGCTACAATCTCAGCAATCAAATGTTATAAAATAAAAAAAATAAAAAAAACCAAATGGTTTTAATAATTGAAGTTCATTGCTGCTCTCCAGTGCTTAGTTTTTCCTCAAATTAAGTGATACTAGTTAAGTTTAATTCGTTTGTTTGGAAATTTTCGCACTGAATTGAATTGTGGCTTCTTTAATATTTAGACGAGGAAGACTTGAGTGAAGTTGTTGGATAATTAAAGTAGCGAAATAATTTTATATATGCTCACCTTTTTGAGACTCAGCAGAAAGTTCCCAGACAGATTCCTTAACAAAAAATTCTTAGTCTTTTATTTGGGTGCAGTTATATCTTTGTTTTGGCTAAAGTTTTATTTGATTTTGGGGATTTTTCATATCTCTGATTAGCAGCAAGCCAAAGTAGAATGTCATGCTTAAAAATCTCAATGAAAAGTTTCTGTTTGTATGAATAGAATGTATTTGCATTGGTTTTTAGGGTGTCCCCTTTTATGTCTGGGGTTTGTGATGTTCCTATTATTCTTTCACGGGTCCTTACTGTTCGGTCCTTTTTGTCTCCATTAGTTTTATTAACTGTATCAAGATATAGTACTTGAGCATTGTTGTGTCTCTTGTTATGGTTTAGGCTTTTGTCTGTCTTCATGGCTTCACCTACTGAGATTAGTGGTTTTTGTATTAAGATTTAGGTGGTTGTGAATGGAATTGTCAGGTCAGAATGGAATATCACTGGTTGGTAGTCAGAAGTGGGAATCCATATTTTTGTGTGGAATATCCTTGGTTGTTTGTTATCATGTACTTGGTAGAAGGTTCCTTCTTGCATTTCTGAGAGTGGTGGTACTATAACTAAGTCAACAAGATTTTGGTTGTTCTTGGTCTTGCTTTTATTTGTGGAGGAACTTTGGTAGTTGATGTTACACCACTTTTGGGGAAGATATTCAAAGTAGTTTGTGGGTGAGAGATGAATATATTGAATTTACAAGTTCTCGAAAACCACCACTTATGGGCATTATCTTCTGGGGCTTGCTAGAATTTTCTGATTATACGTACACCAAAATTTTGATTTCTTTAGTGTGTTCTAGCTGTTAATTTCCTGCGGTGTTAAGGTTTCTGTATGAATGATGATTCTACCACAGTTTCACGAAAGTGTTACTACGTGATTTTGGGAAGAAAAGAGAAAAACATGTAGCTTCCCTCAGCTGTGTAATGAGCTATCTTCCGGCTTGAAAAAGGCTGCATAAAAACAAGACCGAACAGTGTTTTGATGGTTTCTTCGTGTGCTTCGAGGAACTTAGTACCATAGTATAAAATGCCCACTAACTGTTGAAAAGGGCTATTTGTGGAGCTTTGAGAGTGAATATGATTTATTGTCAGGAATAGTACCGCATGCTACAGGAGATAAATATCTAGACATGGTTTATGATAAATTGGAGTTACCATCTCTCCTTTTATGTTTCTGAATGTCTTGTCTCAATATCTCTCTTGCTCCCTATCTTGTTTTTTGGTCATTCTTATTCTCCCTGTTACTAAAAAATAAAGAAGCAAAGTGATACACATCGTGATCCTAAGATTTCCTAGCCATGGCTGAAATATAGTGAATATGGGTTCGAGGATTGATATTATTTTATAGATTCAGATGGGAAGGGAATAAGTTGGCTAAAAATATCATGTTTTGAAACACAATTTACATAAATTGGCTAAAACAAACTGAGAGTGTTCCCAGACTCTCAGTATAAGTGGTTGAGATTTGAACTTTAATTTCATAAAAAAATTTGTTAACCATGTCTTAGTTAATAATGTGACCACATTGTATAAATTTGATAGGAATACTGAATTACAGTGCAGATTGGTGCGAAACATGCCTGTGTGAATAGACTTTCATATTATAAACTCTGAGGTGTTTTGTGTCATATGGTCTATTTGTCAATGTTCTTTTGTTTTCCGTACTTTGCATGGGTGGGGTCTGTTGAATGTTCCCTGTTTTTCATTGTTAAAGGTTTTTTATAATTAACTCAGCCTTATATTTAAATAAACTACCAAGATTGCTTCAAAGTTCAAACTTCTAGTCATACGATACCTTGATTCTGTTTCTGTCTCTGTTTCTGTCTCTGTCTCTGTCTCTGTCTCATGAACCTTTTCACCCTACTTGCAGGTCCTGGAAAGGGAGCAAATTATGAAGAAGTTCCATGAGGTGACATCTCAGTTGGAACAAGCTTTAAGTGGAATTTCCTATGAAAATCTTGACATATCAGATGAAGTTAAGGAACAGGTATATATTCATCATTGAACAATCCTGTAATTGTTTTGGGATGTGATAACCAGGGATCGCAATGTAATAGTTGTTTTTTTGTTTTCTTTTTCTGGATATAGCTTCACATGTTTACTTTGGAATCCTTGTCCTATATAAGCTGACATTATAATGAGATGCCAGATTATTCCTTTCAGAATTCTTGAAGTATTTTCTTTAAAGTATATTTAAACATATTTAGATTGCATGTGCACAGACACACACAGAGACATTTAACCATACCATGACTTGCAAAACTTATATCTATGTGGTACAACAAGAATTTGAGTAGGTCCCGATTCAGAGCTCCTAAATTTATTCGTTATATTATATTTGAGATTTTTCAGTTTTAAATATATTCTTTAACTGTATCATTCATCCAGGTTGAACTAGTTCTTGCTCAGTTCAGAAGAGCCAATGGAAGGTTTGATTCACCAGATGTTGAGCTCTATGAGGATCTCTTATCCCTTTACAGTAGAAATGATGCAACAACAGATCCAGCTGTCCTAAAAAGATTGGTTGAAAAGTTAGAATTGACAGGGATAGCTGAACTTACACAAGAGTCACTAGCTTTGCATGAGATGGTTACTTCCAGTGGTGGGGATCCTGGAGAGAGCATCGAGAAGATGTCAATGCTACTGAAAAAAATTAAGGATTTTGTACAAACAGAAAACCCCAACTTGGATGCTCCTCCTGCAACAGAAAAGAATATATTAGCAAGTTGCAGTGGACAAGCATCTACTGACAAAAATCACAAGGTTCCCCCAGTTATTCCAGATGATTTTCGCTGTCCAATATCATTGGAGTTAATGAAGGACCCCGTCATTGTTTCAACCGGGCAGGTATATGCTTGCTCTTTGATACCCACAACTCAATTGCACCATAATTATCCATGTTCCTTTTTCCTTATTCCTTCATGTTTCATTGGATGTTATTAGATGTTTTTCTCCGTTCCATTTTCTGTCGTATGGCTGTCCGATGTCAATAACATGTTTCCACGTTCTTGTAGAAAATTGTTATATTGAAATTTGTTTGCTACATTGTATCCTGCTGTTGGGTCAATGATTCCCCCATTTGAGATCAGCCTGGTTGTCTTCTGTTAGTTCCTTCATATGGTTTGTCGGAACAAAACCTAGCTTTTTTATTACGAGCTTGAAAAGATGTCACAAAGACTGGTACTTGTATTCCTATATATGGGGTTAATTTTTTATGAATACATTTGAAGTCCATGCCCTGGGACACAATCCAATTTAAAAGATCTTGTTTCCACTGCTGCAGACCTATGAACGTTCCTGTATTGAAAAGTGGCTTGAAGCAGGGCATGGGACATGTCCGAAAACGCAACAGAACCTCTCTAATACCACCCTCACACCGAACTATGCTTTACGTAGCCTCATAGCCCAGTGGTGTGAGGCAAATGGCATTGAACCACCAAAAAGACCCAATGCTCGACTTAATAAAACTGCATCTGCCTGCTCGCCTGCAGAACGTACTAAGATCGAAATTCTCCTCCACAAGCTGATGTCAGCAAACCCTGAAGACCAAAGGTCTGCTGCGGGTGAAATCCGGCTTCTTGCCAAGCGTAATGCAGATAATCGTGTGGCTATTGCGGAAGCTGGTGCAATCCCCCTGCTTGTTGGCCTTCTTTCAACCCCAGACTCCCGCACCCAGGAGCATGCTGTGACAGCACTTCTCAACCTTTCCATATGCGAGGATAACAAAGGAAGCATCATATCCTGTGGAGCAGTTCCTGGTATTGTTCATGTTCTCAAGAATGGAGGCATGGAAGCTCGGGAAAATGCGGCCGCTACCCTTTTCAGCCTTTCTGTTGTTGATGAAAATAAAGTTAGAATTGGTGCTTTGGGAGCCATTCCACCACTTGTAACATTGCTAAGTGAAGGTACTCAAAGAGGGAAGAAAGATGCCGCTACAGCACTTTTTAACTTGTGCATTTATCAAGGGAACAAGGGGAAGGCAGTAAGGGCTGGTGTTGTTTCGACACTAATGCAGCTGCTGACAGAGCCTGGAGGTGGAATGGTGGATGAGGCACTAGCCATTCTAGCAATACTGGCCAGTCATCCTGAAGGGAAATCAGCCATTGGAGCTGCCGAGGCAGTGCCAGTTTTGGTTGAAGTTATTGGTACTGGATCTCCCCGAAACAGAGAAAATGCAGCTGCAGTTTTGGTGCATCTTTGTTCCGGAGACCAACAACATATAGTAGAGGCTCAGGAACTTGGGGTGATGGGTTCATTAATGGAGTTGGCACAAAATGGCACAGATAGAGGCAAGAGAAAGGCTGCACAGTTGCTTGAGCGAATAAATCGGTTTGTTGAGCAGCAGACACAGCAGGCTCAGGCACAAGCCAAGGCTCAATCTGAGACTGAGACCCAGCAGTCACAGCCACCCTCCACAACAAATGCTGTTGACAGCTGATAGTTCATTTTTATTTTTATTTATTATCTTTTTACTTGCTTGGTTTCTTTTGTTCTTTTCAAGTCAAAAGAAGCGGCTTTGCTTTGGCAGGGGGAGGTGGAAGATCACCTTCCAAGTCTGTAAGTTATTCATTTTATTTGTGTGGGATGAGACTATACTTTCAGGGGTTCTTTATAAAGAGCATCAATGGGTAGGGGGGTTAAAAAGAAAAAACAAAAGGAAAGAAGGGCTGAGATATATATCTGACATTTATGTGAAAATTGTACCATTGTAACATTTACGACTGTAATCATCCTCAGTTTTTAGTGAAGAGATGTTGCCTGTATTGAATCCAAAACATTTTGGTCTGAGAGATCAAAGTTACATATATTGAAATTCAAAGCTTCAAACGTCCACAGATTTGTACAATTTTCACATTCAATGAGGGACTCTTTTTTGTTTTGTTTTTTGTTCTTTTGTTTCTGCTGCAGATATGTTGATTCATTCCCCCCCTTTCTTTCTGTATTAGGTAACTTGAAGGGCAGTGCCATGAGGAAATTTTATGGTTTCATTGTCACTCAATGTTACTAATCCATGTGATATGAAATTTCACACGAATATGGAAAACATTTTTATACTTTAAGGTAATACTATGTGACCGTGTTACGATGAAACCGAAAACTTTGTCAGTGCCGTGGCTTAACCTGGGACGGACCTTAAAGTCAAAGGTTGGGGATTTTACTTAGATTTTGTCACCAAGTTGTTCCTGCTAATACACTATAAGGATGAGAGTTCCTAATCCGAGCCACAAAAGAAATGGACTGATTCTGTCCTAATCAGACCCATTTAGCAAATTTCAATCCGGAACTAATATTTTGGTGGTTCTGAAATCTGAATGGTGTTGTCTAGTCTGAGAGCTTTATCTGGCTCACGCAAAATGTTGCGTCTGATAGGGCTAATAAGGCTAATAACAGTTCTCATAGTGATCTAGACTGATTTTGCTTAAAAAGTTGTAGCTTTTGGATTTTGATTGGAAAGCCTTTTGCCACTCTTTCTTCAAGGGGTATGTGAAATGAGGCTATGATAGGAGCCAGCAGCATGTGTATAATTTGCACAAAAACAGCTCGGAAGAGAAGGGTGTCTCAAAAACTCATATAAAATAAAATCTCAAATAACGAATTCGTGTGAAATCCTTGGTATTTTTTCTTTTTTATTCAATCGCTATAAAATCAACAATTCCATGAGCTTGGGCTTCTGTTGCTGACATAAAAACATTTCTTTCCATGTCTTCGAATACAACCCATAAGGGTTTGCCATCTCAAGATATTTATATTTTTTTCAATATGTGATATTAGAATCCAACTTATCTTATTCACCAAGTATGAAAGTCTATGGATGTATAGCCTAATCTTTTCATTTTCATTTTCACTTTTAAAATAAAATAAAAATGGAAGCAGCATTAATATCCATTGTTTCAAATGAAATATACTTTCCACTACATGCCCTAATTAAGATAGGAACTGCCATTGTTTGGGCGATTTGGCATCTGTCATGTCACATGGCATTTGCTTGACAAACATTTGATTGAACATTGCTTGGTTTTTTTATTTTTATTTTTTACCCTAAAGAAGATTGGGATTATCAAAAAAGTTGCCTTTCTGACATACTACTTTGTCAGCAAAAATATTTTTGCTCACTACTCTTAATTGGTGATGAGTATTATCATAATGTTAATTGTTGTTGGATGTGTTTAATTTTTTAGATTCGTATGTGACAGGTAGATTAAATCACACTCATTCAATAATAATTAACATAATGATAATAATTGTGAGATTTGTTGAATACGTATAATTTTTGAAATTCATGTGGCAGGTAGATTAAAAACACACTCATTCAACAATAATTAAAGTAGCGATAATGACCGTGAGATATAAGAGAACTTAAACACATGATGAAGATGTGAGAAAGTAATTGTCAGTGACATAATCTAACAAGATTTGTAATTCTAAAGAATCATCTCACTGGGATTGAGATCGCTGAGTTTATAAAGTAGCACTCCATCATGCACAAATTCTTTGAATTCCAACTTGGAAGAAAAAGAGAAATTCGAAGACCAAACTAACTACCATTTTGATCAACATCTAACAAAGGATCATTACAAGATAATACAAGATGATGCATGAAGTAGCTCCATCACAGAAAACCATGCTGAATCACAGGGGGCGATGATGTGACATGATACTAACATGTCACTTGTACCAATTGAAATTCAGCTGAGTGGCTTCAATAAAGTGAAAACTAAATATGCAAAAACCCAAATGATTTGTGACAAAAGTAATGCAACATCTATGCTAACTTGCCACATGTTTTGTATACCTACACATATATAATGGGTTGTATCATAACATGTGTATCTCAAAAGTAACTTAATATGGATGCATATGATATTATGGTCCGTTAAGAAAATATGGGACCACTGAATTTACTTTTTCAGATTGAATGCATGGAAGCTAATCTTAAATTTATAAAGACCCGAGTTAAAAATTTAAGTTCAGATGCAAATATGCATCTCTTAGCTAGATTGTATGATCAATCGGAGAAAAGAATGGGATCAAGAGATCATGCTAGTAAATTATTTTGATGAGACATCAAATCACATATATCATGACTCTTAGTTTTAGAAAGATGATGACAATTTTAGTTCTTGTGTTTATGAGTTTGACATTAATATCGTAAGTGTTACTTGTATTTTTCCAAATAATGTCTTGATGTTTAGGCTTCCATCATTTTCTTTTGAGTTACATTATATTAGAAGTGCTAAACTTGCATACCAGAGGTCTTAGAGGTTCGAATCCCCATGGCATTAGTTTTGTGTGTGAGAGAAACCTCATTCCTTACTATCGCTTGTACTAAAAAAAAAACAAAGAAGAAGAAGAAGAAGTGCTCAAATCCTTGATCAATTGTCCAACTCCTCACTACTTGGCTGGCTAACACTTTCCAATACAAACTCTCTATATACAAATCTCAAACATTTAACCCTAAATTTCAGAAAGCTATAAGGTTGTAAGTAAATATTATCAACCACAAGAGAGTATATATTATAGCAATCCCAACTAATGGGACTAGCACAAGTAAGACTCAAACTGAATATGCAGGTTGCAAGTAATTATTAACTAAAAATCTACTGAAAAAGCTATAAGGTTAATGGCCCATATTCCAGAACGTGTATCAGTGATACTGCACAAAACGCTCAAAAAGAAGGTGAAGAAGCAAAAATGTAAAAAGAAATGCAAAATTAAACACGGACCCATTTGGAAGAAGAAGAAGATCAGAAGGTGATAAAGAGGAATAAAGTGAAAAAGAAAAAAATAAAACGGAGGCCCATCTCTGCTTCAACAAACATAAACACTTAACACTGAAGACAGAGAAAGAGAGAGCAAAAAGCAGCGAATAGAAAAAACTAACAATCAGAGAGAGAGAGAGAGAGAGAGAGCATATATTTCACGTTTATCAAAGCGTGGGTCAACAAAATGAACATCCATAACATAGAGGGTCTTGGATTTCCGAGCCATATGCTTTGCTTTTGAATAAGGCTTTGAAGCCTTTGATTGCTCTTCCAGCGGTTGTCGTACCTCTCAGTCTCTCAGGCTCATCACCAACAACAGCAACCATTCCTCTTTTATTTCTTTGCTTTCCCTTTTGCCTTCTTTGACGCCCATATGCAGAATGCATGCACATTTTCGACTCACAATAACTGTTTTTCACTGTCCACGTCCCATGACCAAACTCATCAAATATCAAATATCGAGAGAGAGAGAGAGAGAGAGAGTGTGTGTGTGTGTGTGTGTCTGCTTTAATTTTTTGCTTCTGGCATTCTGGTTTGATTGCTTTATTCGTCCATTGCTTGGCAGCCTTGGTTCTTGCAAAAGCAAATCCTTGATTCCTTCTCTTTTTCATAAGATGACCAGCCCTTTTTGGCTTACAATACTAATATGTAATTATTACATCAATCTCCGAAGAGATCAACAATACACACATATATCTTTCTATTCTAACGTGACAAAGTTTTATGATTTTTTTGACCAAATTTAAAAGGATGAGACACTAGGGGACCATGTTTGATTTTTAAAGTAGCAACAGTAAACACTATAAATAAAGTGTTAAAAAAAGACGCATTTGCACTCAAAATCCTATGTTCGATCACTTATAAGAAAAAAAGCAATGATATATTATAGAGTTCTTTTGACCTATATAGCTAGGGTTTTATCATATATAGCTCATGCATGATGCACCATTCTCTACCAAAAATCTGGAATACTTGTTGCTCACTTGGATTTGGTTGAGATGCTAGATACTTGCATGCATGGTTTTTAGTGGGATTTTTGGCGTTTTCTCACAATTTCCCTTCAAAGTCGTCAACTTTCACTTTCACCCATGTAAAACAAATAAGTACTTCCACCGATCTTATCGTTCTTATTATTATTGAAAAATCATTATACATAGTACTGTTTTGTATGTATAATGATGATGCTCTCTCTGATCTCTTTCTCTCTCTTCCCATCTGTCTCTCTGCCTTAAAATCTAAATGTAGTAAACATGTTTTCCTTTGGAGGTGAAAACTGAAAACACATTAACACCTCAGTGAATCTCATAAAAACATGAGACAAGAAGCTTTCTTGGAATTCAAATTTGGCCAAATTTAGAGGAATTGGGGGAAAACGGGGAAGTGGAGTCAGTGTCGACCCTCTCTCGATCAAGTCTTGATGACACATCGATCTTTTCCTACGAGAGAGAGAGAGAGAGAGAGAGAGAGAGAGAGAGAGGAGAGAGAGAGAGAGAGAGAGAGAGAGGGAGACACCATTGAAGAGGATGCTGGTGAAGGACTTAATAAAGGCAACTCTTTTCAGAGCAATGGTGGAATGTGGATCAACTTCCTCAACAAAGTACTTTAAAAACAAAATGAGAGAGACAGAGAGAGACTTGCAATTAATGCACCACTGCAGGGACATAATAAATTAAGCTGCAGAATCTCTACATATATAAAGTATAAACTTCAATCTCCTCTTGATTCATGTATATATATATATATACACACACACACATACATATAATTTGAAAAACATACTCTTCTTTAATTAATTGATATGCAGCTTTTGTCAAGTGGTGTTCCATGAAGATTGTACGAACAAAAACACATACATGGAGCCACATGTTTCAGCCACAGATTTTCATAGAATATCACTTACTAATTTCAAGCCAAAGAACCCTATTGTTTTCATAGTAAATCAAACGATAGAAATGGTGCGGATTGAATTTTCTCATTGTGATGCATGCAATTGGTACTATTAATGCATGTGGCTGAAGAAGATATGGGAGATATACGATGAAATGAATTTTTTTCAAAAGGAGTACCATTGATGATCAGCTCATAGTGGCAGATACAAACCCATATGGTACATACACACACCATACATTAGTTAATACACGATACAAAGAAGCACAATAAGTACTCAAAACAAGAAAGAAAGAAAGAAAGAAAGAAAAAAAGCAAATAAAATACAAATCAGAAAGACAACCATTTCTTAGATATTTGGCCATATATCCACCTCTAATCATCAACAAGGATGACAAGGGCTCGTGCATCCATCTTAATTATACACTGGTTTAATTTCTGGCTTGGAAAACTTACAAGAAATGGCTTGTGGAAGAAGAGTTGAGGCCTGATAAATCTGTCCACGCATTCAAATTGCCACCCCAGAACTGATTATTGTTGTTTTCAGAAATATTAGTACCCAAAGAAGGTCTTGTCAAACTAAGCCCACGATTGTCTTCAACTTTCACTGGAGGGGGCAGGTGATCACCAGTATTATTAACCCTAGAATTATTAGCAGCCATAGGATCAGTTGGTGCTTGATGATGATGATCAACTCCTTGATCACCAGTTTGAAATTGGTATAAACCTGTTGAGGGTGATGAATCAAACCCAGAACCACCCAAGAATGGAATTTGCTGCAAATTCAAATTGCGCCACTGGTTATCTCCTCCTAATATTCCACCATTTAAATTGTTAATATTATTGCCTCCTATCTGATGAAATTGGAACCCCATATGATGGTGGTGATCAGTCTGTCCCTGCTGGATCTCATTGAAGTTTAATCCCATGTTCCCAGCTCCACCATAACGTCCAAGACTTTGGATTGTTGAGGCCAGAAATGGCAGGGATTGATGAGTTGGCGGTGGCAGTTGTGACAAATGAGTATCAATCATATGATGATCAGATGAGTTGGAACCTGTTTGAATATGATCGGTACTTGTGGCTGCTGGAGATTTGGACCTGCTGCTGCTGCTGCTGTTGCTTTTGCTTTTCTTGTTTCGGCGACATCCTCCTCCGACTGGAACATTCCTTAGGGCACCTCCTCGGGTCCAGTAACGCCGACATGTCTTGCAGAAGTGGCGAGGCTGAGAGAGGCTGTAGTTGTTGAAGTAGCAAAACTTGGTGTTGGTGGACTCACACCTCGGACACTTGAGGGCGGTTTCTGGCTGTGGAATCTTTGCCATACGGGCTCGATCGGACATCGAACTGGGTCTGATGGAGCCCGGGCCACCACCACCAGTACTCCCTTGGCCACCGACATGAGTGAGTGGCGGCAGAGGCAGCGGTGGAAGCTCGAGTGGGTTTTCATTTCCAGTAGTAGTACTTCCCAGTGGATGATGATTTGGTTGCTGCAAGATAATAAAAATCCAAAGTAACTATGAGTTAAGCATAAGGAACATATATTTCTGGTATATTCACAAAGAGATATATCACAAAGGAATAGGAATAAATATATCTTTTGAATTTGCTTTTTTTTTGTTCTTCCCTTTTCTGTTTTGGTGAAGATAGAAGGTGTTGATGGAAAAACTGGAGCTAGAGAAAACCTCACCTGGTGCCAATTGGGAGGATCTAAATAGACTGGAATAGATGAGAAAACCATGGTGTTTGATCTTTATTTCTTTTATAAAGTTTGATGGGTCTTTAGGAAATATGGTGGTGGAGAATCACACCAAGGGAATACCAGAGCCAAGAAAGAAAGAAAGAAAGAAAGAAAGAAAGAAAGAGAAAAGAGAAAGCAAAGAGAGGAGGAAAGCAAGGGAGAGGCTTTTGTATATTTTTGCTTTTATTCCCTCATTCTCATCTCTTTTTGTTTTATTATATATTTAGGGTTTTGAGTGGACGAAATTTCTTCGCATTTAAGCTTTCTTTTGAGATGCTGCGGACTGTGATTTAATTAGTGCTAAAAAAAGGCTACTTGCTGCCTGGCTCATGCAAGGAAGAGAGAGAATGAGAGAGAAAGAGAGAGATAGAGAACGTGGCACAGTAAAGCAAATTACAAATCACTATCTATTTGGCCCATGGTGGTGGGATCGCAACCCTCAAGTGAGGTCATCAAATTAATCCTGATTAGGAGTTGTACGGAATAATTAATATTAATTATGGCATTAATCTTTTTACCAACATTACTAATTTTCCATGGTAACAACACCAGATAGTTGTGTTGTATATAACTAACTCACCGCCCTTAATCAATTGGTCAAGTGGTAATCTTTTTTTACTTTGTTAGAAGAGATCATCAGTTGAAGCGATAGCTTTCAATTAGTACTCTTTTTATTTTATCATGCAGCACCATCAATGTAATTGAAAAACTGAGTGAGTGCACCTTTGAGAAAGTCTCCTAGGGAAACTCTAGTTTGCAAAATCTATAAACTTAAAAAAAAACACTTCTGTGTTTGGTTTGGGAATTGTGAGTGCTTCCTAGTAATCGTTTTCTTTGTTTGGTTGAAATAGATAAAATTATTTTTTCGGGTTTATAAACTCGTAGCGAATAACAATATGTAAGAATTAGGCAATATAAAGTGCGTTAAAAGATGATCGAATAAGAGAATCATATGAGTTCATAAGTGAGACACACAATTACAAGAAAAATTGTTAAAACTCACATGTGAGAGAAAATGTCACATAAAAAGGAATTTTTTTTTACTGAACTGTTATTAAACTCTTAACCAAGAAGTAATGTTGACGATGTACAGTGATTATGAAAAAGAAGTATGGGTGGGACGATGAAGGGGATGCTAAAAGTGAACCACATCCACATCCGAACCTAAGATTATTATATGCTGAAAAAAAACAGCAACACAAATTAAAGGTGCTAAATGTTTTTTTTTCTTCATCTTCGTCTTCTATATTTTCGCACAACAAAATAATTATAAATTCATATTAATTCCAACATGCTAAATTACTGTGATAGATAAGACTCCTTTTCTTTCTAAGTAGTCAAATATTACGACAGATCACCGATAAAGAAAAAATCTTTAGCGTGCCCCAAATTTTATCCATCTTTATGGCCTTTTAAGCATCACAAAATCTTCAAGTTGTCTCGCAACTTTAATGCCCAACTCATCATATAATTTATGATAACAAAAGAGAACATCCATCAAAGTGTCTGTATAATTAATTTGTCATTTATATATTATTTGAGCTAAGTGAGAGCACTAAGACTAGAGTTTCGATACCTTTCTTTCTTTTGTTACTCTTTTTTTTTTCTTCTGTTTAATCACCTTTTTCCAGAAAGAGACCCAGTATGGTTTGCAGGTCGCTAAATATTATAGAATTTCTCTTTTGGGTGTGGGGCTGGCTGCACCACCATGGGGCTAAGGCTAAGGGGGATGCGAGAACGAACCACATAATAAATAAAAGCCATAGCTTCGTCTATAAGGAATCTTCTTTTACTGATCACAGTAATTAAGTTCATAATTTTCTTCAGGTAACAAGAAAATTATTTATACATACCTTTGGATTCCATATGGATCATTCATACATACCTCGCCTCCCTCAGTTAAACATGCATGCATTTTGAGGTTTTGTTTGTATGGTAGAAAAATATATATGACTGTCGTGATCTATAAAAATCGATGTGAAAGCTTGCACTAGAGAATGGTGTGCACTCTCTTGGCTTTGCTGTTTCTGTTTCTCCTCCCTTTGTTGTTTCTGGCTTTTTGCTTTTCAATGAAGTATTTTTTGACCAGAAAAAAAAAATAGAGAGAAATTATAGAACCTCAATCGACTTTTACCTACTCCTACCATTGAATTATTAAGACAACTTAGTATTTCATATATAATCCAGATGGGAAAAAAACTTATATACAGTTTTCTCCTATGCGGATGTCCGGACGCCATTATAAATATGGAGGAAAGCCGGGAAAAGTAGTAGAAAATACATGGCGTATGCACGGTAACAACGTCCGAACATCCGCGTAGGAGAAATTTTATATAATAATAATAATAATAATAATAAAAAGCATGTTGGTTTTGAGGCCAAAAAGGCGACCATGTAAAATACTCTTTAATGGATCTTTACTTTGTATTTGGATAAGGAAATCTAAGAGTATTAAGGAATTTCAAGATGGTGGAAATTTATGTTATTAAATTTGTGTAGTTTCTTGTTTTTTATGTTTAGCTAACCTTAAAAAAATCTAGATGATGTTTTAGGATACAATACTTTAGCACGAGGAAAGAAAAACCCAAAAGAAGATTACTTAGTGAAATATGATGCGATCAGAAAAGAGGACATATTATCACTAAATTTACATCATGTAGTTATATCTTTAAATCAATATAATGTTTTTTTAATATAATAATTAAATTAAAAATCAAGGCGAAGAAGTGACATTAACCCTTCTCTCTCTCTCTCTCTCTCTCTAGATATTAAAGACAATCAAAATGTCTCCAAGATCCATTTTGTTGGAGGAGATTCAAACTTGTGTTGTTAGATTAAAGAAAATGAATGTGCAAACGTCTCCAAGATCCATTTTGTTGGAGGAGATTCAAACTTGTGTTGTTAGATTAAGAAAATGAATGTGCAAACGAAAATATTAGTTATGAGAAGAATAGTTAAATAACTGAATAATTTATTTTAAACTAAAAAATAATATCATTTATGAAATGGAAAAGCACAAATAGATCATGCAATAGAAGGCTTTAAAATTTTAAAAAAAATACTAATAAATAAAAGACTAAGTGGTTTCATGCATAATAAACTAAGAATTGGTTGCTATTATATACGTAATAGATTTTAGAAATAACATTTCAACTTTAAGTTAGAAATTTGAATATTTAAGTATAAACAATTCCACAATTTTTTTAGACAAACAATTCTACAATTCAATTCGGTTTAACAGTAACCGATGATGATCAATACTTTGTTTGAGCACTTGGTCATATTTGATGTTTGCCATAACAATAACTGGATGTCTGCCAGGGAACCTCTAGGTTTTGCTCCATAGCCCTTTAAGTTGGAGTTTTTTACAGTTCCATGTTCTAGGCATATGGTATCTGGTTGTTATTTTGGCCTTTATTAGAAACCTTGACCGAGACTCGCTGAAATTATGGTATCAGAGCCTTAGTTTAGCACCTAAATAATATGATTATAATAGTAAAGTACCTTGAGGACAGAAGTCAATCAACACAACTGATAAAAAAAACCAATGTTTTATAACATGTTAAAATTTTGTTAATTATACCAGAATCACCAGTTAAGAATAGTAAACCCTTTGCATATTTGGCCCTTGGTGGACACCTATTAGAAAAATAATTTTAAAAAAAGTTACAAGAATTAAAAAAACAGAAAGTTGGATGCCAAGTAGAAATTAGGAATCTAGAAGAATTATTAAAATCACAAAAAATAAGTAATTATCCAAGAAGAAAATTAGAAGTACATAATAGCATAATAAAAAACCAGTATCATTTACAAGTTTGTAAAGAATCCATAGAAGCATTTCAAGAGAATTTAGGCATATTAAAAGAAAAAGGTAGACTTAAATAAATTTTAATTATATGATAGAGTACCTTAATTTAGAAATCAGTGAACAACAAAAGAGAAAATTAACTTTATATAATAAGGAAAATTAGGTATTAGACATAATTAAGTTTACTAATTAGTAAGTGAGATATTAGGTATTTTAGTTTGGGTTTTAATACTTAAAAAAAAATAGCTATTTTAGATTAGGCCAAAGGCTGGCTCAGATTCGTTGGGCCAGCTTAAAAATAACAAATGAAAAGACAATTCTACCATTTTCTCTTAAAAAGCCTGGCCCATCTGTAAACCTACAAATTAAATGACGCTTTTGCCTCTGAACGTTTAAACGACGCGCGAGTTTCTTTTCTTTTTCGTTCGTTTTCTTCTTCGTTTCAGAGCTGGGTTCTGCCATTGGAGCTCAATTTTCTGGTAGGTTTTGCTTTTATTTTCTTCGTTTTTTTGTCTTCTTTTTTCTGCTACGTTTTCGTTCGATTTGCATGCTGAATGACTGTCAGTTTTGGGTGATTTCTGTTCTCCTTAGTTCGGGTATTTCGAGCTCAGTTTTGTGGCTCGATTTTGCGGCGCGATCTTGTGGCGTTCAATGCTAAACCCTATATTCTTCGTTTCGTGATCAGATTTGATTTTAAGCTGCTGTTTGGTTGTGGAGATTTTTGGCAGTCCTAAGTTTTGAGGTATGAGTACTTTAGAACCTGTTTTCGTTTATATCGACTTGTATGTTTATGGAATTTAGTTTTAGTACTTTTATCGTGGTTTCTTTTTGGTTTCTATTCGAATTGTTTTGATTTTCTGTCATAAACTACATCTGTTTGTTGTAGTTTTGGTAGAAACTGCATTGCAGTTTCTTGTTTCATAATTCGATTTCAGACTAATATTTGGAAGTCTATTGGAATTTTACAACTGCTCATGTACATTATTTACTGATTTAAATTGTTTTCTGTTTTTGTTTGCATTTTCAAGGCTAATGGAGGTGTGTGTCATTGCCAAGTGCACATATAATACATTAGTTTGTTATTTAAAAACGGCAGTAATAATCCCATCTTTATAAAGAAAGACATATGGCAACATGTTTTCATATAGACGTAAAAAAAGAATCTTTCTTTTTGTAACTTTGTTTAAGACAA